CTTCTTCTTCTTCTTCCCTCTCGGAGGAGGAGTTAACTAACTATTTGTGTGTGTCCGTAGCTGCCCATAGGAAAATTACAGATCACCCTCACCCATCCACGCCTGCCACGGCCAGGCAGCAGATCATCATGTCTGCCATAGTTCGGTCACCAGAACACCAGCCCACGCCCATCAGCCTGTTGGCACCTCCCTCCAGCCGCAGAAAGGAGGCCTCCACGCCAGAGGGTAAGGCTTGGGGAGGCGGGTGGGTGTTGGCTTCTGGAGGGGTTCTGGCCCAGATAAACCGGTGACCCCCTCCGACTGCATATGGTGCCCGGCTTCCTAATAGCGCTGAGCCGGGACCGAAGCGTGGTCAGCAGGTCGGGCAAAACACGGACTATTTAGCACAGGGGTCTGTAACCTTGGCGACTTTACGACTTTGTGGACTTCAACTCCCAGAATTCCTCAGCCGGCTGAGGAATTTTGGGAGTTGAAGTCCACAAAGTCGTAAAGTCGCCAAGGTTACAGACCCCTGGTTCAGCAACCAGCCAAACGCCAGGCTAATCGTAAAGTTCCTAGATATAAAACCAGAATACAGGTAGCCCTCGACTTACGGCCTCAATGGAGCTCCAGATTTCCGTTACTGAGCGAGACAGTTGTTTAAGTGAGTTTTGCCCCGTTTTTAGGACCTTTCTTGCCGTAGTTGTTAGTAAGACAATTGTGAAGTGAACCTGGCTTCCCTCTCGATTTTGCTTCTCAGACGGTCACAAAAGCGGATCGCGTGACTTTGGGACACTTGAACCGTCATAAATACGAGTCATTTGCCACATAAACCCGGGTTTATTCCGAGCTGGTTTAATGTCAGCTGTCCAGTTGGCGAACCCAGAAAAAGAAACTCCGGGGATATTATTTTACCAAGAATATATAAAATTTTACCGAATAAATCCACAGTGGCACAGAAGAAGCAAAGCCAGCTCTGGGATTCCCCGCGCAAAAGCAAGCATAGTTAATTCTCCCTTTTCCCCAAGGGCCGCCCACAGTCCGTTACGTCCACCAATCAGTTCTGTTCATTTTGCTATGGGAGCCAGCCAGCCACGCTGTGACATCTGCTCGGTGTCCTTGAAGTGGGTGGGAGCACCTGGCGATGCAGTTGGATGCAATTGCCCCCATCCGGCCTGGGGAACTGTGGGAGTTGAAGTCCACCAGTCTTAAAGCTGCCTGCAAGGTTGGACAGCCGCCATCAACCTTCACGGTTAGGAATAGTTAGTGAAGGACCGTCATATCCACAACGTTGCTTTCAGGAGGATTCAGAGAAGCTGGAAAGGGTTTCGAGAAGGCACGGCTGGCTGGGGAATTCTGAGAGTTGAAGTCCACAAGTCTTAAAGCTGCCAAGGTTGGACTCTCCAGGCCTAGAGTATAAACAAACTGTAGTTTAGGAGGTGGCAATCGGTTGGTTGCTTGAAAAAGGGAGTTGAGAGAAAACTAGGAACATCAGCAGAGCTAAAACAACTTCAAAGCCCAATTAAGATCCGAATTCCAACTCGTTCCAGCAAGGATCCAAGGACATCAGCTCCCCTCCCTTCCATGGATTCCAAGCAATAGCGCTTAGACTTATATACCGCTTCATAGTGCTTTCCAGCCCTCTCTAAGCGGTTTTACAGAGTCGGCCTCTCGCTCCCAACAATCGGGGTCCTCATTTTACCGACCTCGGAAGGACGGAAGTCTTGAGTCAATCTTGAGCCTGGTGAGATTCGAACTGCCAAATTGAAGGCAGCCGGCAGTCAGCAGAAGTAGCCTGCAGTACTTCACTCTAACCACTATGCCATCCAGAGGTGGATTTCACATAATTTTACCACCGGTCTGCCGTGTACCAAAAATGTGAGCACGTGTGACCTTCCCACTCACATGCGCGGCTTGTACGCAGGAACGCGGCTTAGAAAATGTGGCTAAACAGGACGGCATAGCGCTGGGGCGGGTCAGCCGGCCCACCCTCAGGTCGCCACTACCAGTTGCCACTGATGCTCATAATGCTTGATCTCCAAAAGCCACGTAGTCTTCAGATCCGCACACGGGTGGACGAGAATCCCTGCGCCATCAACAATTTATCTTTTTTCTCTGTGTGATTTTTCCGTCTTTCCTTGTAGGGTTTGGGTGTCGTCCTGTCCTAAATGTCCCAACGACGGCTTGTCTTTGACTCCCCTATCTGTCCATGTGATTCGGTCATATGACCAAGAACTTTTTGTCCTGTTCTGCCCCAAGAGTGTGAACGGGAGAGCCCTCCCCAGTTTTCAGTCCGTCGTCCCCCCTCCCAAGTTACAACTTCATTGTATTGTTTTCTGAAAGCTCTGTTGGGAACTAATGATGGTTTACTTTACAGGAGTGTTAACCATTACTGAGATAATTATATGAAGTTCTGAGAACTCTCAGAGCTTGGTGTAAGCACTAATTATCTCGATTTTTGTTTGTAGAGGTGTTCAATGACTAACTGGCACGTCTACGACGTTTAATTCCAGAGTTCCCCAAATTTGAACAATATCCTTATAGTAACTAACTCGCTCACCAAACTTTGCATCAGCTGCCAAAGAGCAGTCCTGTTTGAGTCCCGCTGCTCTTGAAATACACCTCCTTAGTTCTTTACAGAAGGTTTTTTTACCCCAATAAACGCCTTTATTTACCAATTATTTCTCAAATTTCTGATTTTGCCTGGGTTGGCTTTCCAAAGCCTTGTTAGAAAGCCAGGCTGGATAAATCCTTCTGCGATTCTTTAAGGCAGCCCCGTATTTTCTCAGGATCCCATGGCGGTCTCGGAGGAAAAGACAAAGCTGCTTTCAAAAGTGGCCCCCAAAATGTGACAGACCATTTCCAAGCTACCCAAAGTAGATTTTTCTCATTATTTCCAGAGCAAGGGCAGACCTCAGCGATAAATTGGTTTTGACGACAAATGGGTATTTTACTGTGAAAAGAAAATTTGGATAAAATTTCCATTATTTGTGTTAGGCAGGAGGGACGTGGTGGCCTAGTGGTTAAGATGCTGGGCTTCTTTACCGGAAGATGGGCAGTTCAAAACCCAAGCACCACATGGATGGGTGGGTGGGTGGATGGATAGACGGACGGACAGATGGATGGATAGACAGATAAATGTGAAAATGGATAGATAGATGGATAAATGCATGACAGATGATAGAAAAATAGATAATGATAGATAGATAGATAGATAGATAGATAGATAGATAGATAGATAGATAGATAGATAATACATAGTTAATTGATATATAATAAATAATTGATAGATAGACAGATAATACATAGTTAATTGATAGATAATAGATAATTGATAGATAGATAAATAGATAGATAATAGATTGATAAATAGATAATAGATTGATAGATAATACAGATAGATATTTGATAGATTAGATAGATAATTAAAGATAGATATTTGATAGATAATGATAGATAATACATTGATAGATAATAGATAATTGATAGATTAGATAGATAGATAATAGATTGATAAATAGATAATAGATAATTGATAGATTAGATAGATATAGATAATTGATAGATTAGATAGATAGAGATAGATAATTGATAGATAGGATAGATAGATGGATGGATGGATTGGTAGATAGATAGATAGATAGATAGATAATTGATACCGTGTTTCCCCGAAAGTAAGACCCTGCCTTATATTTTTTTGAACCCTTAAATAAGTGCTTGGCCTTATTGCCATGCATTCAAAAGCCTTATTATCAGGGGATGTCTTATTTTGGGGGAAACAGGGTAGATAATTGATAGATAATAGAGGGAGGGAGGGAGGGAGGTTTTAGCATTGATCTGTATGTACCTTAGAGAGTTGGTCCTTGGTCCAATTAATGGAAACATGCTCTTTTCCCTAGAGTTTAATCGGCGCCTTAAAGAACGCATGCATCACAATATTCCTCACCGTTTCAACGTGGGACTGAACATGAGAGCTACCAAATGTGCCGTTTGCTTAGACACGGTGCACTTTGGACGCCAGGCTTCGAAATGTCTTGGTAAGCAGGCGAGGGGCAAGCTGAAGAGGGGTACCTGAGCAGGTGACCCAGATATGCTTTTATCAGGAAAGAGGTCCTTAGGAGGAGGAGGAGGGGTGGGAGGCTTCGTAGGGACCTGAAAATAAGCCCCGTATATTTCCACATCGTTTTGGTGCCCAGTTTTAAAAAGTACGGGGGAATCTGAAATGTGTATTACTGTATTTTTCGGACTATAAGACGCACTTACCTTTTTTGGGGAGGAAAACAAGAAAACAAAAATCTGCCAGTGCCTCCCAGCACTCCTTGCAGCAAACAGTAAACAGCCTGTTTCAGTTTCAGTTTCAGCACAGCCTGATTAGCACAAGAAAAAAAAATCCGCCTCTTTCTCCCAGAAATTTGCCTCCTTGCAGCAAACAGCCAGTTTCAGCTTCAACTTGATTAGCACAAGCAGCTGATTGTCAGTTGGATCGGCCTCCCAAAGATCAGCTGTTTCAGGCTGCAGGGATTGTCATAGTTTATTGCCGCCTCGGTGCGTCCCATTTTCCGGGTGGGTGGGGCTACTTTCGGTGTATAAGATGCACCCATAAAAGGACTCAGGGCGGTGCACAGCCAGACAATAAAACACATCCATACAAAATTTAAAAGTAGAAATAAAAATTTAAATTTTAAAAAATAAAATTTAAAAGTAGAATAAAATCAAATTAAATAATTTTGGCTCCGACAAATTTAAAACCCCGAACTGTTTAAAACCAATTTTAAAATTGAATGTATAAAATACTAAAAGATATTTAAAAATTGAAAATCTTTTATGAAAGAGGGAGAAAATTAGGCCAGGCCCGCCTGGTGAAATAATAAAGTCTATTATTATTAATCTGTTAATCTGTTAATCTTCCTTCTCCCCCCCACCCTTTTTTTTTTCCTCTTTTTTTTTTCTTTTTAAGAATGCCAGATGATGTGCCATCCCAAATGTTCCGCCTGCTTGCCGGCCACTTGTGGCTTGCCGGCTGAGTACGCTGCCCACTTCTCTGAAGTCTTCTGCCGGGATAAATTGAATTCCCCAGGAATGCAGCTAAAAGAACCCGGCAGCGCTTTACGGATGGAAGGATGGATGAAGGTGCCCAGGTATAAACGTGAGTCTCTGCGCTGAACAGGCCAGCCCAGCTTTGAAGGCTGCTGAAGGAAGAGCAGCTCTTGGAGGCCATGGCTGAAGCCGCGGAGGACCGTTTTCTCTCGCTGACTTTTTTTTATTCTCGTAGCATCGTCCCAACTTCCAGCTCGACCCGGAATCTTGGCGCGAAACTTCTAACCGAGACTTGTCCCGTCTCTGTTTTCAGAAATAATAAACGCGGCCAGCAAGGCTGGGATAGGAAGTACGTCGTTCTAGAAGGAACTAAAGTCCTCGTTTACGACACGGAAACGAGAGAAGGTAATATCTATATTTTCTCCCTCCATCCTGAGCTTCCCTGTTTTCCCTGACGCAACCATCCATCCACCTCTTACTTTGGGGAAGCGGGGAAACCGTTTTCTACTATTAAGGTTCAAAAAGGATTCCCGTAGCGTCTTTTCCAGCGAACCAACTGCAGCATAAGTGGGTTTTACGTACTGTAGCAACTGGTTGGCCCAGCACCGGAAATGTGAGCACGCTTCGCTCGCTCGCGTGCGCCGTCTGTACATGCATGCAGTGTCAAAAACACAGCGATATAGGATGGGATATAGGCAGGCCGACCCACAGATTGTCACTACCGATTCGCCCGAACCGGCTGAATGCCAGCTCTGAACTGCAACTCACGAAAGTTTGCGACACTTAATCAAGTTGGTTTGTTATAAAATAGGCTACTTGAATCCCTTTGGTTATGGTTATGTTTTTGGGGGGCCCCCTTTAAACGAACAAGCTTTCCCCCTATAACTGTAGAATGTTGCTCTTCAAAATGCTTTCACCTGGGTGGGGTCATTCAATTATTAGTTATTTACTGAATTTCTTTGCCACCCAATGAAGTCAGTTCAATTGTGTTTTATTTACAACAATCGAAACCTAGATTTCTTGGAAAAAAAACAAACCTTAAGGAAAAAATAACCTCAAGTTATTTTAAAAAAATGTAAATTTAACGAGAATAAAACTGGGATAAAATAAATAAAAATTAACAATGAAAACATAGCAATATGATTAAGAGATGGGGGGGAGCAGGATGCACAGGGGGGAGGAAGAGGGGATCCGTTTTTATTTTGTACTATTTTGCTATTTTGCTTTATTATCTGCAGTATTTTGCTTTAATTTGCACACAGTCAACAAGGGGTACACTGTCTACTTTCTCAATTTTAATTCATTCATCTTGAGGTGGTGGGGGGAACCCCTCTGGGGGCATTCTGGAATGCCATAAGTGCTGGTTTTTGTTGCATCCAAAAGGCAGAGCGTGGATGAAATACAACTAAGTTCCTTGACTTACAACTGTAAGCGGGACAATTCGCCATGGCCAACACACCACAGGACAAAAGTTACAATAATATCCAAGAAATAGTGGAATTAAAAGATGCGAAAGGAGGGACAGAATGAAATGGGAGCGGCCAAAATGTTCAATATCTTTTAAACTCTTTTAAAAGAATTCAGTTGAACTGTTGAATTGTCCCGTGCAGCAGGTTGGCCACGCGGAGTTGACTTGTCCTATTCTACTCAAAGTGAAGGGACGCGGTGGCTCAGTGGCTAAGATGCTGAGATTGTCTATCGAAAGGTCGGCAGTTCAGCGGTTCGAATCCCTAGCGCTGCGTAACGGGGTGAGCTCCCGTGACTTGTCCCAGCTTCTGCCAACCTAGCAGTTCAAAAGCACGTAAAAAAAATGCAAGTAGAAAAATAGGGACCACCTTTGGTGGGAAGGGAACAGCGTTCCGTGCGCCTTTGGCGTTGAGTCATGCCGGCCATGTGACCACGGAGACAATCTTCGGACAGCGCTGGCTCTTCGGCTTTGAAACGGAGATGAGCAGCGCCCCCTAGAGTCAGGAACGACTAGCACATATGTGCGAGGGGAACCTTTACCTTTACCTTACCCAAAGTCACATGATTCCATTTTGCGACCTGCTGACAAGCCGAGTCAAAAGGGAAGCTAGGTTCACTTAACAACCATGTTACTCACTTAACAACTGCTGCGATTCACGTAACAAATGTGGCCAGAAAAAAATAAGGTCACAAAATGGAGCGAAACTCACGTAACCGATTTCTCAAATATTGGGCTCGGTTGCAGTCGTAAGTCAAGGACCGCCTGCCATTTGGGCCATTTCAAGCTAGCTTGCCTTTCAGGGATGCTTTGCTGCTGTTGCTAATTTCCTTTACTAAACCATCGGCAGGCTCTTTTCCTGCGGCGATGCCACGCCTGAGTTTTAAGCTGCCGCCCTCCCCGTTTTTCCCAGCAACCTGAAGATTGAAGCCTTTAATGGGTGAAGACCCTCTCCTCATTACGCTTCCTTTGCCCTTTCATTTCTCCCCTTTTTATCATTTTCCAAAGCTGGACAACGGCCCGTGGAAGAGTTTGAATTGTGCCTTCCAGATGGAGACGTTACCGTCCACGGGGCCGTGGGAGCGACCGAGCTTCTAAATACAGCCAAGACAGGTGAGGCTGGATGGAAAATCCAGGGCTGCGGAAGCTGCCTTGAGCACAGGAAGGCGGTGCTCCCCTTTTCAAGGATGCTCTGAAAAGTTGTAGAGAGTAAGAGAGGAGGATCTTGATGGAGAGAGAGGGAGTGGTGCCACGGCCTAGAGGTGGAGCTCTCGCCTCACCATCAGGAGGCTGTGAGTTCAATCCTAAGTAGAGGCAGATATTTCTCTTGTCTGGGCACCGTGAGAATACATCTGCTGAACAAAACCTCTGCACCGGCAACAAGAAGGGCATCCGGCCAGTAACCACTCTGCTAGCTCCATTCAGGTGCCCAGACTCCACCCCGCAAGGGATTATGGGGTCGTTAAACGAAGGTGATGATGATCTTGATGGAGAGAGGGAAGATCCGTGACCAAAAGATGTTGAGACTTTAGAACAGATCCGTGGGCCGGATCTGGCCCGCAAGGGTGCTTAGATGTGGCCCGCGGGGCCGCCCTGGAAACAGTTAAGGACTGACCTGCAGTGCCTCTGCCAGTGAAAACGGAGTTCCGGGGGGCTGCAGGAGGCTGCCGCAGCTGAAAACAGAGCTCGGGAGCCCGTTTTCGCTGGCAGAGCAGCGAAACATGATGTGGAGTGGAGGCTAAAACATGACGAAAAGTTGCAGGAACTGGGTATGAAGAGAAGGACTAGGGGTGACATGATAGCAGTCTTCCAATATTTCAGGGGCTGTCACAGAGAAGAGGGGGGGGTCAAAAGCACCTGGTGAAAAGCACCTAGTCTCAGAAGCACCTTGTTAAGGAATTCGCAGAGCAACCCTAGAGTAGCAAGGGTGTGCACATGAAAGCGACTGAGAACAGTTGCGAATAAGCATAGCCAACACACAGATATATTGAGTTGTGTTTACTTGTTAGGAAATAGTAATAAGGCACAGTCCAATAAAGAGTCCAGGTCATACACAGATAAAGCAGTAGATGGTAAAACAATAGTCCAGGGATATTCCAATAACAAAGTCTTCTTACCAGTCGTCATAGTCATACAGTTGCAAACAGGTGCAAACACAGCAAAGAGCAATAATGATCAGCAAAGAGCAATAATGATCAGCAAAGAGAAACAAACCATGTTTCTAGCTCCCTTTTAAGGACATTGGCTACAGAGCTAACCAATCAGGACACAGCATGATGCAATACAGCAATACAGTCCTAAAGCTATATTGAGGGTTTATATATTGCCAACCCAATAAGTTAGGTAACTATCTTCTACACCTGAAGGCAAGAAAAGAGCTAATGGATGGAACCTTTATCAAAGAGAGATCCAACTAGAATTAAGGAGCAGTTTCCTGACTGTTAGAACAGTGATTTGCCTCCAGAAGTCGTGGCTGGAGGTTTTTAAGAAGAGATTGGACAACCATTTGTCTGAAATGGTTTAGGGTCTCCTGCCTGAGCAGAGGGTTAGACTAGAAGACCTCCAAGGTCCCTTCCAACTCTGTTATTCTGAAAGAAAGACATTGGGGATTATAAAACCATTTCAAACACCCCAGTAATTCACATGACTATAAAAGAGCAAGAGGGGGAAGGTATCAATAGAACAGAGTATTTGTAGCTCGGAGTTGAACCGGGGGTTTTCCTTGGTGCTCTCTGATCTTGGTTGTTTTCTTGCAGACGTTTCATTACCCAGCTACTTAACATCATCAATGCTAGAAGGAAGAGGGAGGAGAAGGACTGTGGGCTCCTTGGTGCTCTCTGAGCTTGTGTCAGCGTCCCAGCACTGACATATGTAATATTATATATAATATATTATTTTGAGATAGCATCGAAACCTGACAGCTTGTTTGTTTTCTTGCAGACGTTTCATTACCCAACTAGGTAACATCATCAGTGTAAGGGAGTGTGGGGGTTTGCTCCCAAACAACGTCTGCATGCAAACAACCAAACTCAGCACCATGCGTTCCCCAGAAGAAAATATTTGTAGATCAGGATTGAACAGTTTTTGCTGCTCTCTGAGCTTGGTGCATTTCTTGGAGAGAAATTTCATTACCCAACTAGGTAACATCATCAGTGTGAGGAGGAGGAGGATTGTGGGGTCCTTAGCACTCTGGGTGGGGCAGTGAATGCTGAAGTTTGCCTACCCGGGTTAAACTTTTTAAGGTGAAACCTTTCAACCTCTTGTTTGGTGTGCTTCTGCTCTAACAAGCAGAGAAAGGAGCCAGCGAAAGAAGGCTGGGTCTGCCCTAATCCAGTTTGTCTCTTGTGTGTTTTGCGTGCCGACCGCCTAGATGTGCCATATATATTGAAGCTGGAATCTCATCCCCACACCACCTGTTGGCCTGGCCGGACTCTCTATTTGCTGGCGCCCACTTTTCCGGATAAGCAACGTTGGGTGAATGCCCTGGAATCGACGGTGGCTGGAGGAAGAGTTTCCAGAGAAAAGGCAGAAGCCGATGCCGTAAGTAGAAGGGAGGGAAAAAGACGGAGGGAGGGGAAGGAGAGGGAGATGAGAAACAGGGAGGAAGATAGGAAGGAAGGAAGGAAGGAAGGAAGGAAGGAAGGAAGGAAGGAAGGAGAAAGGGAGAAAGATAAAGATAGAAAGGGAAAGGGAAAAAGGGGGAGGAAGGAGAGAGGGAGAGAGAAAGAAAAAGGGAGAGGGAGGAAGAAGGGGATAGGAAAGAGAAAGAGAGAGAAAGGGGGGGGGAGAAAGGAGGGAGGGAGGGGAAGAGAAAGAAAATAAAAAGAAAAGGGAGAGGGAGAAAAATAGGAGAGGGAAGCATGGGGAAAAGAAGAGGGAGAGGGAGAAAGGAAAGAAGGAAGGAGTGAGAAAAGGAGAGAAACAAATGGAGAGAAAAAATTGTGAGGGAGAGGAAGGAGAGGGAGAATGGAGAGAGAACGGGAGAGGAGAAAGGGAAAGACAGAAAGAAAATTAAAGGAGGGAGAGGGAGAAAGAAAGGCAAAAGATAAAGGAAGAAGGCGGGAGGGGAAATAAGAGGGGGAGAAAAAAGGAAGGAAGGAAATGTTTGGGATGGGGTCAGTTGAAATCCTTTCAAGAAATACAGAAAAAAAAAAAGATGACTCAGCCAAAGCAGAGATGGCTGCCTACCCCATGTTTCCCCCACCCCACTTCCAAGAGAGTGGGGTAAACTTGGATTCTCCCAAGCCTTGGAAGGGCTTTTGCATGGAAAAAAAATCTTCATAAGGTGAAACTCTTAATTGTGCAGTGGACTCTCTCTTTGCAAAAGCCCTCTGGTCCTTGATCACTCGGCCGGGAGCGATTTTTTAATCAAAATCATTGGCTCAGATTCAGTTCCCCACTAATAACTTTAATCTCCAAAAAAGAAAGAAAGAAAAAAAGAAAAAGAAAAAGAAAGAAAGGAGGTTGGGGAAATATACAGTCAAAATTTCCTGTTCCTGAATGCCCTGTGCAGAAAAAGCTCCGTGGATTCACGTTAAGTGCACTTCTCGCAAATAAGAGCTCGGGCAGGCTTTAAAGAAATGCAATTATAGCAACTTTGATTAACTGCAATGGATCCCCTTGGAAAACCTTCTGGAAGCCCAGCAGTGCATATAATCCTTCCGCTTCTTAGTCGGGCCTTCACTGCTGAACAGGCTTATCAAAAAAAAATTAACTGACTATCTGTAGCTTTTACGTTCCCTTCTCCGAGCGCTAAAAAAAACCAGAAATGATTTCCAAAGGGCCTCCCAAGTACATCTGGAGATTTCCAACAGATCGTTGGTGCTTATTAACTTGGGCTAATAAGAGACATGGAGTTCCAGCTGGAATGTAACAGGATATATCTCCACGCAGCAGAAATCAGATTAAATGGAGTGTGTGGGAACCAGCAAGTTATCGGAAAGTCCTGGCTTTTTCTAAGAGTAAAATAGCATTATTATTTTTTTAGAGCCAGACTTAATATCCTCCCTTCGGCACTCCTGCGGGGCAGGTATGATAACACCCCCATAGTTAAGCGAGTGTGTACATGTGGCAATGGGGAAGCTGAAGATATCCCACATGTCCTATTGCACTGCAAGTCGACGTCAGATCAATGTACGTTCCCCCTCTATTAAAGAGATTCCTAGGGAGAACCAATATATCTATGCGAACCATCTCCTTCAGGATTCAAATCCAGCTGCCGCTTGTCCCGTAGCAAAATGTTTTGCCCAGTGGTAAAATCCAATTTTTTTTTATTACCAGTTCTGTGGGCGTGGTGTGGCTTGTGGACGTGGAGGGGAAGAATGCAAAATCTCATTCCCTCCCCACTCCTGGGGGAAGGATATTGCAAAATCTCCATTCCCACCCCACTCTGGGACCAGCCAGAGGTGGTATTTGCCAGTTCTCCGAACTGCTCAAAATTTCCCCTACCGGTTCTCCAGAACCTGTCAGAACCTGCTGGATTTCACCCTTGGTTGTGCCGCTACAAGGACAAAACAACCTATAAAGAACTGAAGATCCTTATTTTATAGTGCTACCTTTGCATAGCTATTTTTCCAATAATGTCTAGAGACATGTATTTATTTTATTATGAGCCGTGGTGGCGCAGTGGTTAGAATACAGTACTGCAGACTACTTCTGCTGACTGCCAGCTGCCAGCAGTTTGGCAGTTCGATCCTGACCAACTCAAGATTGTTGACTCGGCCTTCCATCCTTCTGAGGTCGGTAAAATGAGGAGACCCAGATTGTTGGGGGCAAGGTGCTGACTCTGTAAACCGCTTAGAGAGGGCTGGAAAACACTGTGAAGCGGTATTTAAGTGCTTTTGCTATTCTATCCTTTCACAAGATCCTGAAGACCTGGATTTGCCAACGGGTCTGGGGAACCCAGAGTGGGATGGAGCCCATCAAGTGGCTTATCTGATTGATTTGTTGTCACCACAGAGGTGAAGATTAGTGTTTTATTATTGTAAGCTGCAGGACTGCTTTTCCAGTGCTGTGATCACTTCAGGCAGTCACTACGATTGTAAATCGAGAATTATTATTGCAATTATGGCCAGTCTCTGAAGTGATCTCTTTCATCCACCTCTTCCCCTCCTCCCTTCCTGCACAGAAACTCCTTGGAAATTCTCTTCTGAAACTGGAAGGTGAAGACCGTTTGGATATCAACTGCACTTTACCTTTCAGCGATCAGGTAAGGGGTCTCCGGCTTCAGCTCACCTTAACGCCTGCAGCAACTTTTGTGTCCCCTGAACAGAGAAGACCATTTAAGTTTTGAATAACTGGCAAATGTATTTATGTACCGCGTTTCCCCGAAAATAAGACCGGGTCTTATATTAATTTTCGCTCCAAAAGACGCATTAGGTCTTATTTTCTGGTTAGGTCTTATTTTTTGGGGAAATATGGTACTAAATGCATCCATCTGGCTGACAATCTTAACTGGGGCTTATTTTGTGGGGTAGGGCTTATATTACGAGCATCCTGAAAAATCATGCTAGGGCTTATTTTCCGGTTGGGTCGTATTTTTGGGGAAACAGGGTATTAAAATTGTCCGCTGCTCATCTGGCCAACAGGAGAGTCTAGAAGAGCCTCGGTGGCGCAGTGGTTAGAATGCAGTACTGCAGGCTAGTTCTGCCGACTGCCTGCAATTCGGCAGTTCGAATCTCACCAGGCTCAAGGTTCTATCCGTCCTTCCAAGGTCGGTAAAATGAGGACCCAGATTGTTTGGGGGCAAGAGGTCGACTCTGTAAACCGCTTAGAGAGGGCTGTAAAAGCACCGTGAAGCTGTCTATAAGTCTAAGTGCTATTGCTAGATTTCCAAGCAACTAAAGATAACAAGAAAAATATCAAAACAATAAATACTTAACGTTAAAATGGACTCCGATTTTAAGTACAGAGTCTACAAGTCGCGACTACAATGGAGCCGAAAATTTCTGTTAAGCGAGACATTTGTTTTGTGTGTTTTGACCCGTTTTTATGACTTTGCTTGCCCGCCTTTGTCGAGCGAATCCCTGCCGTTGTTAAATTAGTAACACGGTTGTTGAATGAATCTGGCTTCCCCGTCGACTTTGCTCGCCGGGGATCACGCGACCCCCGGGGACGCTGCAACCGTCATAAATATGAGTCGGTTGTCATGCATCCGAATTTGGATCACGTGACCATGGGGACGCTGCCACGGTCATAAGTGTGAAAAAAGGTCGTCAGTGACTTTTTTCAGTGCCGTTGTAACTTAGGTCACTAAACGGATGGCTGTACTGTAAGTCAAGGTACCTGTAGCCTTTGTCAAAATAGTCCGGTTTCCTTGTTGGGTCAAAACGTTTTGCGTTGACCTTTTAGCCTCTTTTCTATGCCTTTGATTGACGCGTGGATGTGTCAATCCTGTTGGGACAGGTGGTCCTGGTGGGCGCCGAGGAAGGACTTTACGCCCTGAATGTGCTAAAGAATTCCTTAACGCACGTCCCCGGGATTGGTGCTGTCTTTCAAATCCACCTCATCAAGGATCTGGAGAAACTGCTCATGATTGCAGGTAAGGAAGTCGAGAAGGATGCCTTTGCTTTCAACGCAAGACTCGCAAGAAAATATCTCTCTGCTCGCGCGCCCCCCTCCCTCCTTGCTGCTTGAAATCAGGGTCAACCCGCGAGAGCTTTTGAATCTATGCACCTGCTTTCAGATCTCTCTGAACCATAAGGGCTAGAAACTTGCTTTTGAAAATAAGCTGGCTCCTGGGACTCATGTCTGTTGGCTCTCCTGCATTTCCAGGCAATTATTTCATAGGTGTGTGTTTTGTTGCCCTCGGAGGATTCGAGGCCGTCCTCTGTGTATAGGGGAAGGAGTGGCAGAATCTGAGGTGGAGTGAAAAGAGGGATCAGCCTAGAATCCCTACGTAGCTACAAAGGAATTAAGTTCGACCTCCCTTGTCTGCTGTTTATGCTCTAGTCTAGGCATGCCAAAACAACCAGACACAAAGACAGTTTTTCCACCATGCCATCCCTCTGCTAAACAACTAATTCCCACAATACTGTCTACGCTCTAGGATAGGGGCGTCAAAGTCACGGCAGCGGCACGTGACATATCAGGACTTTTCCCCCTTTCGCTAAACCGGGCGTGGCCAGCGCGTAACACATCCGGCCCACGGGCCAGGAGTTTGACAGTCGTGCTCTAGGATGTCAAACCACTTAATTATCCTTCTCATCTTTCCTATTTCCTTAGCCTCTTATGACTATAACTGGGTTGTTTGTATCTCATGATTTATGTAGGTTTATTTATTTATTTATTTATTTCATGTATTTATATGCCGCCCTTCTCCAGAAGGACTCAGGGCGGCGAACACAAGTTAAAAACATGTACACCAAAATCCCATTTTAATCCAAATTAATTAATAAATAATAAATAATAAAACCCAGAATCAGAGTCAGCCTATTTGCTTGAACAGCCAAGTCTTCAGGTCCCGACGGAAGGAGCAGAGATCAGGTTAATTAATCAGGTTAATCAGGTTGTCCTTAATTTAGGACCCTATTACGATTTATCTTGTTTGCGTATTTAGTATCCTACGATCGTCACTGCATGCTGTAGGTTACGATTTATGACGATGGTACTTTAGGATTACGATCCTGATTTACCACTTGTGGCTTCTATGTACACTGAGAGCTTAAGAACCGGGGACACGTCCCTTGTGTCTCCAATCACACTTCGGCCAATAAAGGACTTCTGTCTCTCCGTGGCATGGTTTCCCCAGGAGACGAAAGGGCGTTGTGCCTTGTGGATGTGAAAAAAGTGAAGCAGTCCCTCGCTCAGTCCCACCTCCCGGCTCAACCTGACGTCTCGCCCAATATTTTTGAGGCCGTGAAAGGCTGCCATCTTTTTGCGGCTGGCAAGGTAAGACACTCCAAGCTCTCAGTCATTCGCAGAACAATCCGTGGACATGAATGAAGGCGAAACCACGTGTCCCGGGATAATGTTGGAGGGTCCAATCTGGGTCGGTTGCCAAGATCAGAGATTTCGTCTTCCAAGCTTTCAGACTTGTGCTGGAGCACACCCTCAGGGAACTTCTCTCTAGCAGAGTGTGTGCTGTTCTGTGTGTGGTATATATATGGTGCCTGGTGTATGTGGCTTTTTAGATGCTGATTGGAGTGTGTTGATGGCTGGCTTTTAAGTCATTGGCTGTCGTTTGCTTGTGCTGTCAAGCCCCCGCCTCCTAAGTTCTTGATAGGCTGGTGGTAAATCAACATGCCTGTTGACCAATGAGGGGCCTGTTTCAATCATTTCCCCAGCTGTTTTTGCTACTAAGATTGTTGGACGAGCAGGCACAAAAACAGCCAGTTACAAAGATTGTTGGACGAGCAGGCACAAAAACTGCCAGTTACTAAGATTGTTGGACGAGCAGGGACAAAAACAGCCAGCTACTAAGATTGTTGGACGAGCAGGCACAAAAACAGCCAGCTCCTAAGATTATTGGACGAGCAGGCACAAAAACAGTCTTAAGTGTGAAAAATGGTCCTAAGTCACTTTTTTCAGGGCCGTTGTAACTTCGGACAGTCACTAAATGAACTGTTGTAAGTCGAGGACTACCTGTATCTCCCTAATATGAAGCTAAGCAAGCAAGCAAGCAAGCCCGACCCTCAAAGACCCTGACTTAAAACTTTCATTCCATGTAAGCAAATGACTGTTATTTAGGTGTGTGGCCTCCTATTGATTGAATCCGATCCCCGGTATTGCCAGCCTCTTTCCCAAATGGTGCTTCTGTTGGATTCCTTTGCAGATCGAGAACGGGTTGTGCATCTGTGCGGCCATGCCCAGCAAAGTCGTGGTGTTGCGTTACAACGAGAGCCTCAGCAAGTACTGCATCAGGAAGGTAAAGCGTCTTCTGGGTCCACGGACCCCTAACAATGTCTCCAGGGAAAGTCTGGTGGCACCTCCGTCAGATCAATTGAATTGGACCACGTCTGCCCACTGTCCTTCTCTTTAACCTGCCTGCAGCATGAATGCCTACATTATAATCCCTTAGTTAGGGTTGCGTCCTAACATGCCTCCATAATCTGCTGGTTCTAGAGCAGGGGTGTCAAACTCGGATTTCATTGAGGGCCGCATAAGGGTTGTGTTTGGCCTCAGGGGTCTCGCTTGGGCGTGGCCAGCTCGACATGACTCGTGTCATGGGCTCCTGTGGTGGCCCGAGCGCTTTGCCGGCAAAAATGGGCTCCCGGAGTTGAAGTCCACAAGTCTTAAAGTTGCCAAGGTTGGCGACCCCTGCTTTAGACCTCAGTTGCATTGTGTGACCTCACTCAGGCAAGTTCTGGAGAAGACCTTCAGCCAGGCAGGTTGTTATCGATGAAGGGAGAACGTTTGCCGACCGAGCTTGTGCGCTTCGTTGTTTTTTCTCTCGCAGGAGATCGAAACCTCGGAGCCGTGCAGCTGTATCCATTTCACCAATTACAGCATCATCATCGGGACCAATAAGTTTTACGAAATTGAGATGAAGCAGTACACCCTAGAAGGTAGGAATCCCTGCTTTGAAGGGAGAATGTTCAAAAGGCTGTGGAGGGAGTGGCGATGGTAGGTAGGGCATCCCTCCCCTCCGATTCAGGAATTTGCACAAAACTGGAAAAGTGAAGAGATTCCCACAGAGGAGACTATGATAAGGAAAATATTAGAATGTGCAGAAATGAATAGATTAACACTGGCAGTTAAAGAGAAAGAACAAACTGGTTATTATGTGATACGGGAAACATTTTATCGATGGTTAGAGGACAAGTATAAGAAAGTATATAGAAATAAAAGTAATGAGTAAAATATAGAAAATAATTCATAGAGTTAAGCAAATTAAGAAGAGGATGTAAAGTATTAGATATTTAATGTATTGGTATTAAGCTAAGAGTAGATTAAACAATGAATATGATTGTAAATTTCAACTGTTATTGCACAGACATTTGTACCCAGACGACACACTGTTTAATGGAAGATGGATTATCTGTACCAAAATAAAATTTTAAAAAATTATATATAAAAAGAAGTTTGATCAGCAGAAAAAGACAGCGGGGTTTTGTGGGGGTGGAGACATGAGGGGCTCACAGAGAAGGGAGTGGAGAGTCAGTCCAAGAGGCCAAGGAGGTAGCAGAGTTGAAGAGAAAGAGCACTTAGACTTATAGACTGCTTTATAGTGCTTTCCAGATCTCTCTAAGCAGTTAATAGTCTCAGCCTCTTGCCCCCAACAATCTGGGTCTTCATTTAAGTGACCTCGGAAGGACAGAAGGCCGAGTCAACCTTGAGCCGGTCAGGATCGAACTCCTGGCAGTTGGCAGAGTTCGCCTGCAATACTGCTTTCTAACTACTGCAGAGGAAGGAAGGAAGGAAAGGGAAGGAAGGAAGGAAGGAAGGAAGGAAGGAAGGAAGGAAGGAAGGCTGGTTGAGTCAATCTTGAGCCAGTCATAATTGAACTCCTGGCAGTTGGCAGAGTTAGCCTGCAATACTGCTTTCTAACTACTGCACAGGAAGGAAGGAAAAGGAAAAGGAAGAGCAAAGCAATAGCATTTAGAACTTATATACCGCTTCACAGAGCTTTCCAGCCCTCTCTAAGCGGTTTACAGAGTCAGCCTCTTGCCCCCAACTATCTGGGTCCTCATTTTACCCACCTCGGAAGGAGGGAAGGCCGAGTCAACCTTGAGCCAGTCAAGATCGAACTGTTGGCCGCGAGCAGAGATAGCCTGCAATACTGCATTCTAACCACTGTGCCACCACGGCTCCCTAGTGTAGGATTCCAGGCGACGTCCCGCTTTTACTAAAACTGCAATATGTCATTTTAGAATTCCTGGATAAGAATGACCACACCTTGGCATCCGCTGTGTGTGCATCCTCCAACAATAGTTTCCCAATCAACATCATCCAGGTGAATCCAGCAGGGCAGAGGGAGGAGTATCTGCTTTGCTTCCATGGTAAGTTGGTGTGAGCGATGGTGCATGGGAAGGGAGAAGCTGGTGCAATAGACTATAGAGGATGGAATGGGATGGGATGGAGTTGGAGCGGAGTGGAATGGAATGGAATGGAATGGAAATAGGAGTGGGATGGGATGGGATGAAATGGAATGGAATATGTGGAATGGAATATATGGAGTTGAGTGGAATAGGAATGGTGTGGAATGGAATGGAGTGATTTGGAATGGAATATATGGAATGGAGTGGAATGGAATATATGGAATAGACTGAAATGGAGTGGAATATATGGAATGGAATGGAATATATGGAATGCAGTGGACTGGAGTGAAGTGGAATGGAATGGAATATATGGAATGGAATGGAATGGAATATATGGAATGGAGTGGAGTGGAGTGGAATAGAATGGAACAGAATGGAGTGGAGTGGAATAGCTATTGGCCAAGTGTGATTGGACACACAAGGAATTTGCTTCTGCAATCATGTCTCCCCAGTTCTTTTTTTCATTAAGGTAGCCACATCTAATTTCTGCGACCGTTCTCTGTACGTTTTAGCCTCCGGTTCCCTAATCGTCTTTGTTGCTCTTCTCTTCACTCTTTCTAGAAAAAAAAGAGAAATTTCCCATACTGACAATTTACTAATTGCTGGTTTGTTAAGGATAATTGAATTTCTGGACTCTGGGCAGACTGTTACAGTATTCCTTTCTTTCCTAAATATCCCACTTCAACTATTATTATTATTATTTTGCCACTTCCTTGCAGAATTTGGCCTTTTTGTAGACTCCTACGGAAGGCGCAGCCGCTCGGATGACCTGAAATGGAGCCGTCTGCCTTTGGCATTTGGTGAGTATCGGATTTATCTCTGACTTCCTTGCTCTGCACGCAGCTTATTGTGGGGTTGTTGTTTTTTTAATGCAGAGGGTTGAAAAATGAGGAAAATACATATTCTTTAGAGATTTAGCTTTTAAAAATGACAGGTAATCCTTGATTTAGGATCATAATTCAGCCACCCCCCCAAATCTGTTGTTAAATAAAATATTTGTTGAGTTTTCCCCTCTCTCTCTCCTTGGCGCGGCCACAGCCTATCGGGAACCGTACCTGTTCGTGACCCACTTCAACTCCCTGGAGGTGATAGAAATTCAAGCACGTGCCTCTCTCGGGTAAGTCAGCCGTGGCCTTTGGGGACCCTAAGCGCCAAATGGCTCCTAAGCCCTTTGGACAAAATTAGGGGGCCCCCTATCTAAAGAGTGTCTTTCTCTCACCGCCCACCAGCATCCCGGCCCGAGCCCACCTGGACATCCCGAGCCCTCGTTACCTGGGCCCGGCAATCTCTTCTGGAGCCATTTACCTGGCCTCTTCGTACCAGGACAAACTGAGAGTCATTTGCTGCAAAGGGAATTTGGTGAAAGAATCCAACAACGAGCATCACCGGGGCTCCTCCACCACTCGCAGGTAGGAAGCGACGTTCCAGCTTCAAGGGAGAATCTGGGATGCTTTCTAGCTAAGGAAGGGAGAGGTGGGGGGATTTTTATCATATTTTTCTGGTAGCATGCCGAGCAAAAATATCTCTGGTTTCAGATCTATATGTTGTTTTATCATTTTTCCAGCCCTGTGTGTATTTTTGTCCAATATTTTCTTGCTTTTGGGCATTTCCACCACATGTGATAATATGAACCCGATGCTTGATTACACTTGCAACGTTTAATAGATCTGTCTTTATACATTTTTGCCAACTTTGTTTTTTGATTGACAGCAGCCCAAACAAGAGAGGTCCGCCCACGTATAACGAGCACATAACCAAGCGGGTAGCGTCGAGCCCAGGGCCCCCCGAAGGTCCCAGCCACCCTCGCGAGCCAAGCACACCGCACCGCTACCGAGAAGGAAGGACAGAGCTACGGAGGGACAAATCTCCGGGACGTCCCCTGGAGAGGGAGAAATCTCCGGGAAGGGTCCTGAGCACCCGCCGAGAAAGGTCCCCAGGGAGACTGTTTGAGGAGAGCAGCAGGGGACGAATACAAGTGGGGGGCGCCCGGACCCCCCTCGCCCAGGTCAACAAGGTATGGCACGATGGGAACACCCCCGTCTCATCAAACCTCCCACCCTACGTGTGAGGGAAAAATGGTTCTCCTACGTCCCCGGCCATTAAGGAAAATAAGAGCCAGTTTGGTGTAGTGGTTAAGGCACCAGTCTAGAAACTAGGTGACGGTGAATTCTAGTCCCACCTTAAGCAATGAAAGCCGTCTGGGTGACTTTGGGCCAATCACCAGGAGACTGTGAGTTCTAGTCCCACCTTAGGCATGAAAGCTGGCTGGGTGACTTTGGGCCAATCACCAGGAGACCGTGAGTTCTAGTCCCGCCTTAGGCATGAAATTCCGCTGGGTGACTTTAGGCCAATCACCAGGAGACAGTGAGTTCTAGTCCCGCCTTGGGCATGAAAGCTGGCTGGGTGACTTTGGGCCAATCACCAGGAGACAGTGAGTTCTAGTCCCGCCTTAAACCTGAAAGTCAGCTGGGGGATTTTGGGCCAATCCCTCACTCTCAGCCCAACCCACCTCACAGAGTTGTTGTTGTGGGTAAAATAGGAGGAAGGAGGATTAGTTACATTTGCCACCCAATTCATAAAAAGATGATAAAGGCAAGATAAAGAAAATCTAAAGAAAAAAAAAATTACCTGAAAATGGCATTAAAACTCTACAGCAGTCTTTTCTCAACCTTGGCAACACTAAGATGTTTGGACTTCAGTTCCCAGAATTCTGGGAGCTGGCAAGCTGGGGAAATTCTGGGAGTTGAAATCCAGAACTGAGAAATTTTCCAACAGTGAGAACAATTCATCATGGTTTGCTTCCATCCCAGAGATGTGGGTGCTCCACAGGGTTGAAATCCAGCAGGTTCTGACAGGTTCTGGAGAACCGGTAGCGGAAATTTTGAGTAGTTCGGAGAACTGGTAAATACCACCTCTGGTTGGCCCCAGAGTGGAGTGGGAATGGAGATTTTGCAGTATCCTTCCCCTGCCATGCCCACCAAGCCATGCCCACAGAACCGGTAGTAAAAAAAATCGGATTTCACCACTGGTGCTCCATCTCTGGAGGTTTTCAAGAAAAATCGGACAGGTGTTTGTTTGAAATGGTTTAGGCCAGTGATGGCGAACAAGTGCCGAAAAGGTCGTGCGGAAATGTCACGCACACGCATCGGGGCTGCACTCCGGAAAAACTTCCGGGTTCTAGCGTGCATGCCTGCCCAACAATCAGCTGGCTGGTGCGCATACACAGGCCAGTTTTTGGCACTGCCGTGCACACGATGGGATTGCGCTCCGGAAAAGCCGAACTTCTGGGTTCTGGCACGCACCCGCACCCAACAATCAGCTGGCCAGTATGCATGTGCACACCAGTTTTCGGCACTGCCACGCGCGCAAAGGACAGCTGATCATCGCACGTGCACCGGAAACCCAGAAGACAAACAGACAAGTCCGCGCGTGCCGGGCGAACCTGGCTTCGTGTGCCGCTTTGGGCACGCGTGCCACAGGTTCGCCATCACGGGTTTAGAGTCTCCTGCTTGAGAAAGGGGGCTGGACTAGAAGACCTTCGGGGGTCCCTTCCAACTTGGTTATTCTGTTATTCAACATCATAAAAATAGCCAAGGTTGAAGAAACCCTGTTTTAAAAGGTGATGTTTCAAAGTCTTCCGGAGATGCTCTTAGATTCCCTGAAGGTTGAATGAATTGAAGCAATTTCATCTCTTGAAAGAAGAGAGATGGAGAGGGAGAGAGAGAGAGACCTGTGAGGTTCAGTCTTTAATTCTGGACATTTGCAAACATGGTCCCCCTTCTTGAATTTAATGTCCCTTTTTTTTTCTTTTTTTCTTTTTTGCCTTCTCAACAGGTCTGGGATCAATCTTCAGTATAAACGTCACAAGCCTCCACCCTCCGGCCCCAAACTCCAAGGAGAAGAACACAAAAAATATCCAGAATTAGGTGCACCACCCAATCCACCCCGCTCGCCCCCTAAGTCACCCCACCGGGCTCAAATTCAATCCGGCAACGACATTCAATCCAGAAGGATTGAAGTTGTGGCGAGGATCGCCTTGCGTTTCAGTGGGATTTTTTCCCCCTTCCGCCTTCCGGTCCTGCTCTGGGGGGTGTGTCTCCATTTTCTTTCTTTCCACTCCCCCTAAATCCCGGTTCCCTTGGGGAGGGGTGGCGGGGAAGGGTCACTTTGTATTAACTGCTCCTTTCAAAGCGGTTCCTCGGTTTTTCTATTTCGCTTTTACCCGTCGGTCGTCCGATGGGGATGGGGCTTTTTTGCCCCAAGACTTGAGAAGAACAAAACGAATATGTGGCTGTGCGTTTATTTCTGCGGGGGAAAAGCCTTGTATCGGTCCGCGGTGTCTGTCTGCTCCCCGGTGTCCGATTCTCTTCCGCTGCAGAGCTCTAGCGAAATCTCTCAGGCAACGGAGTGAATCATTTGCTTCCCAGAATATATAGATATATAGATATGTAGATATTTTTTTGGGGGGGGGGGGGAATTTGACTGTTCCAAATCCAAATTGAACACAACGCAAAGAAAATGTAGCTGTCAGCGCAGCGCCGGATTGCAGGGAAAAGAAATGTCATTTTTAACTATTCCCGCCTCCCCCCCCCCCCCCGCCATCGATGAAACCTGCCCACTTGGTCTCTCGCCCTCTGCATCCAAAGTCTCCCGGGGAGGGGGGGTCTCGACTGCCCCGTTTACACACAAGACACAGATACACAAACGCACAGAGCTAGGCCTCCGCCCTCTCCCCAGGCTTCCCGCATGGCGATTTTCCCGCATGCTTCCTGCGCTGCCGTCATCTTGACCGCAGCCTCCTTTTTTTCAGTTGCTTTGCTCGATATTGTATAGCTCGTAATTTTTCCCGTGTTCAAAATACCGAAGCCATTTTTTCTTCGAGACGCCGCCGCAACCGAGAACCATCCCCTTGTGGACCTGAGGGAGGGGGAACAAGAGAAACTGGCATCGGAGGAGGAAGCGGGACGGTTCTCGAGACCACTGCTGCAACTGAGCCCACCAAGGCAGGGCAGATTCCCCACCCCCACCCCACCCGCCCTGGAGGTGGCACAGGATCATCAGGCCCACCCGCCGAAAGAGATGCCGGCCAACGGCCCAGCTGAGGAGACGCTGCCTTTCCCCCCACTTCAGGATCCGGGGGAACGAAAGAGCAGGAAAGCCCATGGCCAAAAGGAGCGAGGAAAGTCACAGAAGCGGAGGAGGGGGGGCTCCTCTGTGCCATCCAGAGGAGAGCCAGCCCCCTCCTCGCTTTGGGAAAAGGATGCGGGCGACAAACCAGCTGTGGCTCTTCCTTCTGCCACCGCAGCCCGGTCTCGCTTCTCATTCTTGGCTCCCGCTCAGCTCCGACACACCGTTTCGAACCGTCATTTTCTTTTTGCTCTCTAGGTTTTTTTTCCTCCCAGCTGGCCAGAGCAAATCCACCTGCCTCCGCCGATTCCTTTGGGCACCACCAACCCCACCTTCCCAGTGCCGCCCTATGGAGAGCCCCCCCCCCCATCTCTCCTGCTTCATCAGTGCCCTTCGGGTTTGGGGGGGGGGCCTGCTGTGGAGAAACAGGGTCAGGACAATTTGCATTCTCCGGCGGGTTTTTTCAGGAAGCGTGCCAGGATTTCCACCTCTGGAGGTCCCGAGAGCTCTTTCAAGGCCTTTGCATCTCAAGGGGAAAGAAGAAGAAAAAAAAAAACACTCCTCCTGATTAATACTACTATTACTACTACTTAATAATGATAATCCCTCATTACCTGAAAACTCGGCTTCTCGAGTCCTCGAAAGTGTATATCGCGTGTCTTGTTTGTGAAAATGCTTCCTGCTATAGAATAGCTTCCGAACACTGTACATATTTACAAGAAACTTTATATTCGTAAAAAAGGAAGAAAAAAAAAGGAATCAAATCCGTTTCTACTTTTTTATTGTAAAAGCGTGGAGTTTTTTTGTTGATTTTTTTGTTTTTGTTCTTTTGGTCCCCCCTCAACCACTAGACCTTTGAAAATTTTGGAAAGGGGTCTCCGGCTGTACCCCGAAGCTGTCCCCCTCCCCACCCCTTTAATCCGGCAGGTTCCCGCCAGCAAATTGCCCTCCCTTCTCTTGGCAAGCCACAGCTTGGTAGGAACGTAAACGAAGATGGGAGTAGCCTTTGAAATTGCCTTTTTTATTATCACAAGACCAGGGAAAAGGAATAGCTCGCACCCCTCCCTTGAAAAGTGATGGAACTTCTTGTCGACAGAATAAACGAAATAAAAGACATTTCACTCTCTTGCCTGGCACGGGTGCGATGGGCTTTTTCCTTCCGGCTGGAATCTTTTTTTTCAAACTTATCTTAGAGTCTTCCTACGTCACCCACTGCCTTTAAAAAAAAAAAAAAAAGTGTTGAATTGTTAATAATTTCATAGAATCGTGAAATTGGAAGGGACCTCGGAGGTCTTCTAGTCCAACCCCAAAGCCGGAATCTTTATGCCAAGCTGGACAAATAGGTCAACGACCAAAAATATACTTTGGTCCAGTTGCCCTCATTTTAATTTATTTATTTTTTATTAAACTGGGCAAGTGGCTGTCCAATCTCTTCTTAAAAACCTCCAGAGCACCCGTAACTTCTGGAGGCAAGCTGTTCCACTGAGTTCATTCTTCTGTCAGGAAATCCCTCCATAATTTCTCCGACAAGCGTCTTACCCCATTCCCCCTTGTAATTTTCACTCCCTGACAGCTGAATTGGGATGAGGTGGCTCAGTGGCTAAGACGCTGAGCTTGTCGATCGAAAGGTCGGCAGTCCAGTGGTTCGAATCCCTAGTGCTGCGGAACGGGGTGAGCTCCCGTTACTTGTCCCAGCTTTTACCAACCTAGCAGTTCGAAAGCAGGTCAAAAATGCAAGTAGAAAAATAGGTACCACCTTTGGTGGGAAGGGAACAGCGTTCTGTGCGCCTTTGGCATTGAGTCATGCCGGCCACATGACCACGGAGACGTCTTCGGACAGCGCTGGCTCTTCGGCTTTGAAACTGAGAAGAGCACCGCCCCCTAGAGTCGGGAACGACTAGCACATATGTACGAGGGGAACCTTTCCCTTTTTATCGTTTCTCTAAAGTTGCTCAGCGAGGGTTCAGCCACTGGCTTTTGTTGCCTGCTTGGAGAAGTTGTGCTAATTTCTCCGTTACAGCGGGATGGGCAATCCTGCAACCTGTTGGCCCGTCCCACAATGACGCTGCCCGTTGATATGAAATCTCAAATTTGTCTTCTCTCCCAAGCCAACCAAGCGAGCTCCGGCAGCGAGGCCACACCGTTCCCTGATGTTCCCCTTGTCCTATCTGGTGCTTCAATTTTTATTTTTTATTTTTATGGTTTTCCCCTTCCAAACCTCTGATACAATTCAGGATGTACACCTCGGGAACAAGTCACGCTTGACGAGGGGACGAAACGCTCAGCTTCTCATGTAAATAGCTCTATTTTTTTAAAAAGAAAGCTAGTTTATACAGGGTCTGACGGAACTTCTTCTACAGGGAGCGCGTCTTTATGTGTCTGTCTGTCTCTCTCATATCCAGGAGTTTTTCGACCGTAGCAACTTCCCAAGATGCGTGGACTTCAACTCCCAGAATTCCACCACCACCCCAGTCACCGTGGGTGGATCTCAACTCCCAGAATTCTCCCAAGGCTGGTTGGGGAATTCTGGGAGTTGAAGTCCACGCATCTTAAAAGCTGCGAAAATTGAGAAACGCCGGTTTAAATGCAAGCAAGTCAGCTTCAAGGAGCCCCCCCCCCCCCCCCCCAAATGGCTCCTTTCGCATTGTGTACCTAACCACCTGTTTGGGCAGGTAAACCAGTAAAGACCCCTCCCCACTCCTTGGATTGACATCCAGTTCATAGCGATGCTCTCTGGGTTAAAGAACCAAACTCCTGCTTTTTGACTTCTGTTGTGCCTAATCTTGAATGTATAAATTGAACGGCAAAATGTTCCTTATTTTTCTTTTGATGTGCGCAGAAAAGAACCAAAATACACTTCTGGAAAGAATTCGTGGCTTTGTTCTGTCGCTGAGGTTTGAAATCTGCTCCTCAAAACATGCCCTGCCCGTGTTTCCATTACAGGTAGTCCTCGACTTAACGACGGTTCAGTTAGTGACCGAAGTTACAACGGCACTGACCGTTAGGACCGTTTTTCCACACTTAACGACCGTTGGCAGCATCCCCGTGGTCACGTGAGCAAAATTCAGACGCTAGGCAACTGACTCACCATTTATGACGGTCGCAGTGTCCCGAGGACACATGATCCCCTTCTGCGACCTTCCCCGACGAACAATCAACGGGGAAGCCAGATTCAGTTAACACCCAGGTTACTAATTTAACAGCAGCAATGATTCCCTTAACGACTGGCAGGAAAGTTGGTAAAGTAAGGCAAAATTCACTTCACCAATGTCTCGCTTAGCAGCAGGGTGGATAAAAATCAATGATTTTTTTAAAAAAATTGAAAAAAATCAGATTTTTTTGATTTAAATCGGATTTTTTTGATTTTTATCGACTTATTTTAATAAAAAACTTTTGGGGTAAAAATCTATCGTAAGATAGTTTTCTATTTAAGATACATAAATAATTTAGTTTATTCAGCATGAAATGGAGCTGAGTTATGTAGCAGGAGGCTGTATATTCTGCAACACTGGGACTATCGGTGAGTCAACAGCGGGTCAAAGGAGTAGCAGAGATGACAGTTGCTCTTTCAAAATTATGATTTAAATCGAGCTGATTTAAATCGAGCCTTTTTACTAGTGATTTAAATCGTGATTTAAATTGTGATTTAAATCAACTCGATTTAAATCAAATCCACCCTGCTTAGCAGCAAAACTTTTTGGGCTCAATTGTGGTCGTAAGACGAGGACTTCCTGTATTATTATTATTTCCCCTCGAAGCACAAAATCGTGACGAAGCGAAGGTTTTCCTTGGCCATTATCCCAGTCCTTTTCCTTTTCTTCAGTTCACCTTCTGCCCTTTGAAATTCCACCCTAGCGATTCCCACATTTCCTTGCAGCCTAAATTCCCCGGCTTAGAAAACTAGCCAAACCTCCTTTCCTTTCGTACAGGAGGGAAGATGGGTTTGCATGGCCCCACGTAGTTCTCCCCACGTATCTTATCTAAGCTCAGGGGTCAGCAACCTGCGGCTCCAGAGCCGCATGTGGCTCTTTCATCCCTCTGCTGTGGCTCCATCGCTCAAAATATGCATCACAATCGCCAATGTTCGGCACCCGCCGGCACGCAATTTATTGAGCTTTTCAACCCCCGGTAGGCCAACCATGGATAAATCCAAGAAAAGAAAAGTTTCAGAAGAAAACAGAAGGTTTAATTCAACTATATATGCTAGTTTTGTGGCCGCTCAGGAAATAGTCAGGCACGGGAAGGGTTTTTGTGGCTCCCGAAGTTTTCTTTTCTGTGGGGAAACAGGTCTTTGAGTGTTTTAAGATTGCCGACCCCTGGTCTTAGCTCTACCTTCAAAAACACCCAAATCTCTCAACGTGAGCAATAAAAACACTTCAAAAAATGTTTGAATTTTGGAGGCAGGCAAGCAGGAGTAAAAGCGCAACCTCTTTTCTTTTTCCACGGTGCCTTTATTTATTAAAAACCCCTTTTCCGAACAGGGTAAATACCAAAGTTACAAGACCGGCGGACCTAAAATACTGGCTGTGGGATGCTGCCTTTTTGAGTGGATCATCCCGAGGAATAAAGCTGTTGGGACGGCCGAGGATCCACCCAACCGTCGAAAGCACCGAGGCTGCTGACTTCCCCTCTTTCTTTGGTCCTTATTGCTGCTGTGATCATGAACTCCAAACTATTTTTTCTTTTTTTTTTTAAATTAAAAACAAAACGGCAGGTTTGGCCCTACGGTGACGCTACGGTGTAGGATGAAGACGTTTTCCAGAAACAAATTGATTTCGAGGCCGCCCTCGTCCCCCTCTTTGGCTGTTGTAAAAAAAACCAAAAAAAAAGCCATCCTCTGGCTTTTTGGGGTTAGGAAGTGTTGAAGAATTGGATTTTCAAGGTTAATTGGGCCTGCGCAGTTTGGATGGCCTTCGTGTTTCTCGCAGGCAAGCTTCGCGCTCGACGGGACAAAAAAACCAGAGCTGCTAAATCTGGATCCAAAGTTGCAGGCGAGGAAAAGCAAGGCAACCCAGTTCAACCAAACGGGATTCTTCTCTTTTTTGGGGGGGACGACAACGATGACAGGGATGATGTTGGGGTGATTTGTGATGGCCATTCCGTTCTCTCTCTCTCTTTCTCGGACGAAAGTCCGCTTTCCCTGCCCTCTTTCATATGGGCTTGTACAGCAACGTGGTGACGTATTTCTTCTTGTAACGGTGGGTGGCGCTCAGCACCATCACGCCGTCCTAAAGAGAGGACAAGGGAGCCGTTCAGAAGAATGAGGAGCCACCAAAAGAAGGGCCCCATAGGAGCCCCGGGGGTGGGGGGTGGGTGTCTTACCTTGATGGACAGGGCGTAGAGGTGATTCAGCATGACGTGGTTGGGTTCAGGAAGGAGTGCCGGATCGCACTAAAAAACAAAGAGCTTTGGTTAGGGCTGGGGTCTGCAACCGTAAACACTCAAAAGAGCCATTTGGTCCCGTTTCCCACAGGAAAAAAAAAAACATCAGGAGCCACAAAACCTGGCTGGGCATGGTCAACTCCATGTCACTCACTCCCACCCAGTCACATGACACCCCTAGCCATGCCTACCCAGCCAGTCATTAAGGCAGAGAACTGGTTGTTAACACTGGGAACCACAAAACCCTTTTTCTCCCTCCCTCTCCCTCTCTCTCTGTATCTCTCTCCCTCCCCCTCTCTTCCCCCCTCCTCCCCTCTTCTTTCTATTTCCCCCCTCTCTCTCTCTCTCTCTCTCTTCCCCTCTCCCTCCTCTCTATCTCCCCTTCTCTGTATCTATGTCTCTCTCTCCACCAGTATCTCTCCCTTCTCTATCTTCCCCTCTGTATCTCTCCCTCTCTCTTCCCCCTCTCTTTTTCTCCCCCCTCTCTAGCCCCCCTCTCTGTATCTGTGTCTCTCTCTCCCCCACCAGTATCTCTCCCCTTTCTCTATCTTTCCCCTCTCTCCCCCTCTCTGTATCTCTTCCCGTTCCCTCTTTATCTCCCTTCTCTCTAGCCCCCTCTCTGTATCTATGTCTCTCTCTCCCCCACCAGTATCTCTTCCCCTCTGTATCTCTCCCTCTCTTCCCCGTTCAAAAGTTACAACGGTCAGCTCAAAAAAGCCACTCGGGACCATTTTTCCACACTTACAACCGTTCCAAAGCACAATGGTTGCATGATTTACGTTTGGACTCGCGTTTATGACGTCCCGGGTCACGTGATCCTTTTACGACCTTCTGACAAGCAAAAGAGGGAAGCCAGATTCGCACTAACACCTGCGTGACCACACTGCAGCGATTCGCTTCACAAACGTGGCGAGAATCAAGTCGTAAAATGTGGCAAAACTCCCTTAACGAACACCTCACTTAGCAATTTTGGGCTCAGTTGTTAAAAACTAGGCTGTAAATCGTGTGTGTGTGTGTGTGTGACTCACTTAACGTTTAGCAACAGTACTTCTGTTCCCAATTAGGGTCGTAAGTCGAGGACTGCTTGCATTAAAGGAGGTATTACAAGAACGGGCATCAATTTATGAAGCCATCTTTGAGACTTGGCTCCTGTCAGGTTTTAAAGCCTCTTGAAGAGAAGAGCAGGCAGCCTCCTTAAGGGTCTGAAAAAGCTCTCCCTGCCACACACAAACACCACAAATTAGGAGCGCCATTTCGGCAATATTCGGATGCAGTTAGAATTAATCCGACGTACATTTACATTATCCTATGACCCTGTCTCTCCCCTCCTCCCTGGCCATGTCATAAATTGCATTCTCCAATTAACCACTTTGGCTGGCTGTGAAACCCAACACTCTCCTTCTGATTGCGGTAAGAAAGCATCTGTGGAATGTAGCTTCAGTTAGGGAAATCAATCAGCTCTATCAGTTCTCCCTCCCTCCTGCTTATGGCAACTTGAAAGCTTTGCAAGTTGACACAGGCAGCCTCCTTAAGGGTCTGAAAAAGCTCTCCTTGCACACACACACATACACACCACAAATGCTTTGCATAGGCTTCCCTTGTTTCACACCCCAGAGAATGCTGGGAGTTGCAGTCTCAACACAACTGGAGAAGGCCAGGCCAGGCCAAGGAGGGTTACGTGTTTGGCCTGCTTTACTCTCTACTTACGGAAATCCCAGTGTCTTTGTTCAGGATGACTTGCAGGAGGTGGGGGGGAAGGATTGGGGGTGACTTGAACCTCTCTTCCGGCTTGACGATGTAGGGGTCCTGGTGATACGGTCCGGGGGGCGAGCTCGACAGTTCTGGAGAGAACGAAAGAGGGATCATATTAAATCAAGGGGTGAAAACTTGTAGACTTCCACTCCCAGAGTTCTTGCTGGCTGGGAAATTCTGGGAGCTGAAGTCCACAAATTCTCAAAGTTGGTGGGGAATTCTGGGAGCGGTTGGGAAACACTGGGCTATATAAAGGAGAATACGATGGCTGAGAAGCGGAGGCACTTTTCTACACTGTGGAGGGAAAACCGATGAAAAACATAATATAAACCAGGGGTCAGCAACCTGCAGCTCTGGAGCCGCATGTGGCTCTTTCACCCCTCTGCTGCGGCTCCCTATCACTCAAAATATGCGTCACAACTGCCAATGTGTGACACCCGCCGGCACGCGATTTATTGAGTTTTTTGACCCTCGGTAGGCCAACCATAGATAAATCCAAAAAAAAAAGAGGCACTAAAGAGCCGAGGACTTGGCAGCACAAGGAAACCACAGCCAATCGGTGGCCATCAACACACCAATCAACCAATAGGAAGCCACCACATAAATATATTTCGTAAAAGAGCCCAAAGCATGTATTCCAGTAGAGAGAAGTTCCCTGAGGATGGACAAAAGCTCGGTAGAGTAAACCTCTGGTCCAAGCGACCGACCCAGATTAGATCTCGCAATAAACAGAAGCTGCGTCCTCACTTCCCTTTCAGATTCTTGCACGCGCTGCTTACCTGACACGTCGGAGCATTTTTGGGAATCGACCATTAAAGCATCGAAGACTTCGAAGTCGGTCTTCTTCACTTGGATCACGTTATTGACGGTTCCTAGTTGGCTGGTCACGACAGGCTAGGAAGAGAGTTTGTTAGATCCAGCAGGAAAGTTTGTTAGATCCAGTAGAACGTTGCCCTATATTTCCTTCTGTTTTTAGAATAGAATAGAATTTTTTTTTTATTGGCCAAGTGTGATTGGACACACAAGGAATTTGTCTTGGTGCATATGCTTTCAGTATACATAAAAGATACGTTCCTCAAGAATCATAAGGTACAACGCTTAATGATAGTCATAGGGTACAAATGATACAAGCAACAAAATTACAGTCATAAGTGGAAGGAGATGGGTGGTGGGAACGATGAAATTAATAGTAGTGCAGACTTAGTAAATAGCTTGACAAGCTCAGCATCTTAGCCACTGAGCCATCGCATCCGTGTGATTTATTGCTACGGATACACAAATGGCGGGCAGCCCTTTCAAGAGGGGATGGACCACGGTTGTTATTTCCCCCCAACCAAACTGACAACAAGAAACTCTAACTAAGGAAGAGCTGGAGAGCCGTCAAACGCCGAGTTATCCATTTTTTCATTCATTCCCAGGGCACAAAATGAACCAGATTACCTAATAATAATAAAAAACGCCTTACCTCAGCAGGATCGTGAGTCCACTGACCGTCCACGTAGAACTTGTACTGGTGTTCGCCTTCTGGAAGATCGAGGATCGCTACGAAATTGTTGTGGCTGCGACAAGCGGGAGAAAAGGGATGACCGGTTAACGCCCTAAGGGCCAAATTCAGATATTCAATTCCAACCGACGCAGGGGAGGACTCACAACAGAATAACACGTAAGCACAACAATCTTGCTGGATGACTTGGGGCCAGTCCCTCATCCCGCATGCACGGGGGGGGGGGCAGGTGCATGTATGGGGCCCGTGCGCAAATTGCATTTTGCGGATTCAGGGGCGTGCATGCACATGTGTGCGCGCTTTGGGCCCTCGATCCAGAAAAGGTTAGCCATCACTGCTACAGATCCATTTAACAGACGCCGCTGATATACGAAGCGATTCTTCCCCACGGAATAGGAAGCTTCCAGAGTCTCAGTTTACCTCCGAGTAAGCGGGAGTTTGTTCCAGCTGTTGAAGGAGCCCGATAAATAAACTTCCTTGCCGCCGCCAGTCCACCGGAAGACGGTGGGCTGAGCCTGGGTGGGAGCCTTGTCGCTCACCTCCAGATCATGTTGCCAAGCCAGGAATTCGTCTTTCTCCATCGGAGCCTAGAAAAACAGCCGATTTCAGGAAACGAGTGCTCTGACCTAGGCGTTAACCCAAACCACGAAGCAGACTCCTTGTCCCGACAAAAAAAAACCCCTTTTTATTAAGTGACTGTGAATTCCTCTCATTCACACCCAGCAAAGTCTTTCCAGGGAGAATTTACAGTCACGGATCTTATCTGGCTTGGAGAGCTGCTAGGCTCTCCAAAATCTTGGCAAGGAATCTCGGAGAGTCATGAAACAATTAAGCGAATTAATTGTCTCCTGCAAACTCCACTCCCCTTTCGCTCCTCTTTTATTCCCTCTGGGAGGAGCCATTCTTGTCCAGCTGTGGCCTTACTCCTGAGTTGACCCTTGTTCTTTAGCTGTTCCCTTTGTCTGGCAACTCTGCACATGGACACACTAGGAATAGGCTCCAGCTGTTTGTCTCCCTCGATGATGTCCAACTCCGAAGGCAGCTGATAACTGTCAGACGGCCCTGGCCCCCTCTCTGCCTCCGACGCAGAGCCCTCATCAGAACCTTCCCCAGACTCCAGGACTGGCCCATGTTCCTCCCCAACCTCCTCACCGTCCGAATGTGCTGCCAGCTCCGCTGGTGGGCCACAACAGGCCAGCATCATTTGGAGAGATCATAGCTTGTGAAAGACCGTGTTAGTGTTGGAGGCCTTTCTACGTGTCCCATCCCCTAAAGAGGAGATGGAAGGGACTCAAGGCAGGGTCTACTGTATATCAGGAGACGGGACTTTCTGGTTTTTCGACAGTTGCAGCTTCCCAGGGTCCCACGATCACCACTGGAAATCTAACAACCTGCTTCTGAAAATTAAAGTCAATGGGGCAAGCAGGCAAGGAAGGTCATAAATAGCAAACACGCGATGTTCTGCTTAATGATTACCGGAAAAAAGGACATAATACCAGGCACAAGGCAGTCACATGATCGTTGAATTAATTTCATTCCCGGATATAGATCATCATCATTTAACGAGCCCATAATCCCTTGCGGGGTGGAGTCTGGGCAACTGAATGGAGTTAGCAGGGTGTTTTAATGGCCGGATGCCTTTCCTGTTGCCAATGCGGAGTTCTGTTCAGCAGATACATTCCCACTGTGCCGAGAGAGAGAGAAAAATCTGCCTCTACTTAGGATCGAACTCACAGCCTCCTGATTGTGAGCTGAGAGCTCCACCTCTAGGCCACTGCACCACTCTCATTCCTAGATATGGATGGGGGAGGTGAGGGGAAATTGATTTTTGAGATGGTAATGTTCAGCGTTAGGATATTTCTTACCCAGTTAAGAATTCACCTACTTTCATTTCTTCCGCATTGAAGAGGTCAGCATCTTCGGGACTGTCCATCAAAATCTTGGGTCTGTCTCCATCCTTTGATCCCCCGGGGCTGTCTCTTCGAGGGGTCTTATGACCCCCCCGGCCCTCGACTCCGGACCGTTCGCTGCTGGTGTTCCCCATGGCTGTCGAGGGGGGTCAGGGGATGGCGACGGGCAGGTGGGCAATCTTTTCTTTCGAAGTCTGGCTAGTCGCCCTTGTAAAAGAAGGAAGAAGAAACAACACCAGAAAAGAAGGAAAGAAACTTTAGTTTGTTTAGCGACTGTTAGAAGTTACAACGGCGCTGGAAAAATGGGACTTATGTCCGTTTTTCAGCCTTACGACCATTGCAGCATCCCCATCAAAATTCAGACACTTGGCCGAAAAAAAAACAATAGATATAGTAATAATGATAATTATAATATACATACAGCAGTGGCCAAAATTGTAGAAACCTTTTGGGAAAAGTGTATTTTTGAAGTTTGATGGCTAATAACATCACCTTTTTTGGGGGAGTTTCAAGATAATCCTATTCCACTGCTGGAATGGCCTGGGAATAGCCCAGACCTTCACCCAATTGGAAAATCTATGGAGCCGACTCAAGAAACTTGTTAGTCAGAAGCGACCCAGCAATGAAACCCAGTTAATAGGAGCCATCATTCAATCTTGGTTTCATATTAGAACAGCTGCAGAACTCAAAGACTTGGTTCACTCCATAGGAAGACGTTGTAAGGCCGTCATTCATGCTAAAGGTGACCCAACTAAGGATTAACTGACATGGTGATCGTTTTTGCATATCTCGTTTTTTCTATGTGTTTCACTTTTCTTCTTTATACTGTCACTGCTATTCTAATAGCAAATCCTCCATAAAAGTTATGGCATTACATTCTTGATTCAATGATCTTTCCATTGATATATAATTTTATGGTACTACTCCCCCCCCCCAAAAAAGTGGTGTTATTAGCTAGTTTTAGAAAATACACTTTCCCCAAAAGGTTTCCACTAATTTTGGCCACTGCTGTGGTAATTATAGAAATATTAATAGTTATATTAGCTTATTTAATAGTTATATTAGCTTATTTTATAGTCATGTTCATTACGCTAGCATACTTAATGGTCATTGACGATGGTCATTTTTTTTTTACGCGCACCTAATAATCTTCCTTCATCTCACCTCTACCTCTTACGTTTTCACCAACGTCTCACTTAACGACCCTACAGGTTGGGTCTCCACTGCGGTCATAAGTGTGAGGACTACCTGTATAAAAGCCGGGCAGCCCAGAGAGAACCAAGGAAGTTGGGGAAGGAGAAAAGGGAGGGGGAGCATGGAGTACTTACGAGACCACCTGCTGCAACCGATAACCTCCCACCAACCAATACGCTCTCACAGAGTAGGCCTACTCATAGTACCATCATTAAAACAATGTCGTCTAGTAGTTCCAAGGGAGAGAGCCTTCTCTGTGGGGGCACCTACTCTTCGGAACAAAATACCCCCTGGAATACGAACAAACCCAGATCTTCGCACTTTCCGACGTGCCCTGAAGACCTTTCCGTTTCAACAAGCAGGGCTAGCATAAACATCTAAATTCTATGCCAAGATAAATTCTTAGCAGATACACCAAGTTGACTCAATTTATTATTTACTGTTTATAATATATATATATATATATGTATATAATCTCCTTTTTTTAAATTTAAATTTTAAACACAAATTTTAATCTGTTTAATTATGGGGTATTTTAAAATTCAGCCTAAATTATTTAATTTGTTTTAATCTATTTTAAATTTTGTATCTCTGTGTTTTATCCTCTGGCTGTTCACCACCCTGAGTCCTTCGGGAGAAGGGCGGTATAGAAATTAAATTAATAATAATAATAATAATAATAATAATAATAATAATAATAATAATAATGGAGACCTAATAATAATAATAATAATGGAGACCTAATAATAATAATAATAATAGACACCCAATAATAATAATAATAATAATAATAATAATAATAATAATAATGGAGACCCAAGAAGACCCCTTAAGGAGAAAGCTGCTGAGGTTCCCCCCCCACCGTCCTACCTCGCGGGGCTGTTGTTAGCCCAAGAAGGGGAAGCTGTGTATGGGGGGGAGGGGGGGAAGGAAGGGCTCCCAATTCAACGCCCTAAACCCGAGCTCCTTGCTGGAGCAAAGGAGGCGCCGACGAAGCAGCCCCGCCTTCCCCGGGAGGATCAAGGCGCCGCACTCTGCACATGCTCAGGAACCCCGCAGTAGTCACTCACCTTGCGTCCGACGAGCCGCCGATTGCGAATTCCACCGGGCAGCATTCAAAGCCCGCAGAGGCCTCGCGGTTCACGCCGTTGTTTCTTCCTTCCTTCCTTCCCTCACGCCGGTTAAAAGAGCAGCAGCCGGTGCAGCTCGCAAACCACCCGGTTCCTTCGCTTCCTTCCGGCCCCGCTCCACTTCCGGCCCCTGCCCCGCCCGTGGCCTCTCCTTCCGGTTCCGGTGTGGGTCACGTGTAAAGGGCGCGCATGCGCCTCAAGAGTCCGGCGTTTAAAAGCATCTCTTTAAAAGCTGGCTCTTTTGGCTTCGCGCTCTCGGCTCCTGGGCTTGCAATGACAGCTAGGCGGCCGAGAGGGGGCAGCAAAGAATGAGAGGGGGAGATGGTGATGGGGGAAAAGTTTCACGCCGTCCCGGGGAATGCTGGGAGTTGAAGTCCACCCTGCCTCTTCATGGGGCAAGAATTTGAAAAGCCAGTGGGGGGGGCTTTCCACGCGTGTTTCTGAGAATTGGGGTGCAGCCAGGATCAGAAAGGAGGGGGGGAAGGGGGGATTCCTTCTCCCGTGCATGCTTGTCATTATTATATTGACCAGCATTTTTTTTTTGAAAAAAACACAATGCAGAAATCAAGGTTCCTAATTTTGACTCCCCATCAGAAAAAAGGGGGACCTTAGAGGTCTTCTAGTCCAGCCCCCACTGGGGGGGGAATCAGTGCTGATAAAGACTTGTGTGAATCTGGGTTCTGGGTTCAGTTCCGGGGCAAATTGCTGCTTCTCCCAAGTCTGCTCAAACAGGACATTTCAGACAAGTTGACTGTCCAGACTGGGAAGAAGCAGCGATTTGCTCCGAAACTGAACCCAGAACCCAGATTCACACAAGTCTTTATCAGCACTGATTCCCTCCACCCCTTTCCCTCCAAATGTGGAACCGAATTGGGCAATTTGATCCACCTTTTGAGCTCTTCCCAAGGACCTAGACGGATGTTTGGAAGCCACGTTCTTTTAACGGAATGACAGCGTTGGGAGGAACCTTGGAGGTCTTCTAGTCCAACCCTCAACCCCCCCCACTCTGCTCAGGTAGGAAACCCTACATCATTCTGGACAGGTTGATACTAGTTGGATACCCGTGCTTCGCTACGAAACTATGTGATGGGGCTTGATAAATTGACACTTAAAGCTTGGAAATTAATGAGTAGTTACGATCGGTCCCTTCTCTCCCTCAGCCTTGCCCCACAGAAGCCTAACCTATCCTATCCTATCCTATCCTATCCTATCCTATCCTATCCTATCCTATCCTATCGCCTTCTCTCCCTCAGCCTTGCCCCACAGAAGCCTCCCCTATCCTAGCTCCTTCTCTCCCTCATACTTGCCCCACAGAAGCGAAGCCTATCCTATCCTATCCTATCCTATCCTATCCCCTTCCCTCCCTCCCTCAGCCTTGCCCCACAGAAGCCTCCCCTATCCTATCCCCTTCTCTCCAGAGTTATTTTCAAGTTGTGAGGGGGAGTAGAACGTCTAACTAATTAGCATAAGACCATGTTAATAATTATATAAGAAATGCTAATGATCTGATGTTCATTTCAAAAAATCCTTTCTTAGTGAGCACCTAGAAGCCAAGAGGAACATACGTGGCAAATTTCAAGTTTGTAGGCTTTACGGTTCTGGAGATTTCGTGATTACGGAGTGAGTGATTTTTGCTTTTATATACAGTACATAGATTTGGTGGTGTTAAAAGGTCCTTAAGTCAGTGGTGGGCAACTATGGCCCTTTTATGACTTGTGGACTTCAACTCCCAGAATTCCTGAGCTAGCCATGTTAGCTCAGGAATTCTGGGAATTGACATCCACAAGTCATAAAAGGGCCATAGTTGCCCACCTCCGCCCTAAGCTATTCTGAGTAAAAGCTGCCTTTTGCAATTGACCGATGGGGAAATTTGTCAATGCCGGTGGTACTGAAGTGGTGCTTCAGATGTTTTGGGATGGCGCTCAAGTTGCCTATTGGTCCCAGCTTGTCCCAGCTTCTGCCAACCTAGCAGTTCGAAAGCAGGTAAAAAATGCAAGTAGAAAAATAGGGACCCCCTTTGGTGGGAAGGGAACAGCGTTCCATGCGCCTTTGGCGTTGAGTCATGCCGGCCACATGACCACAGAGACGTCTTCGGACAGCGCTGGCTCTTCGGCTTTGAAACCGAGATGAGCACCGCCCCCTAGAGTCGGGAACGACTAGCACATATGTGCAAGGGGAACCTTTACCTTTACCTACCAGCTTCACATGCCACCACGGAGGGCTCAAACACGCCTCTCGAAGCGTGGTCTGATTTCAGCCTTCCAGGCAACTCGGTCCAGGGGCTCTGCAACTCTGTTGTGAACGAAAATCTCTCCGGTTTAAATATCTGCTGGATTGTCTCAACCTCGTCTACTGTAGAGACCTGGGTATATTTAGCAGGTCCTCTCTAGGATTACAGACCAGGATGTGCAGTCGCTGCTGTTTTGTAGCTCAGCTGTCCTTAAGACCCCGAAGGAGGCTAACCTGATCTAGGGGACGGGCGAGTGTCAGTTTTATCTGTCTCTGCCTGTAAACCCTGCCAAGAGGGGAAAGAGAGGAGAGGGGGGCAGGGATTTGGGACTTGAGCCATCCCAGATCTTGCTCGAGATGGTAAGGGAGAATTTGACAGCTGAAGACCGAGGCCAGAAGACTCTCAAACTTCCACTTTTAGGACAACAAAATAGTGTCAAAATTGATAATTACAACTCAAAAGAACCTGGAGGGCCTGACTTCCGAAATAACCATCTGGGAAAGGCAGTTGTGCTTGCGTGCGGCATGAACCAGCCCATCCCGTTAAGCCCGTGATGGCGAACCTATGGCACGCGTGCCCAAAGTGACACGCAAAGCCATGTCACCCCGGCATGTGCAGGCTTGCCTGTTTATGTTCTGGGTTTCTGGCACGCAAGCGCGCGCAACGATCAGCTCCTCCTTCGCCCGTGCGGCAGTGCCACAAACTGGTGTTCACATGCGTACCCGGTCAGCCGATTGTCGGATGTGCATACCCACCAGAACCGGGAAGTTTGGCTTCCAGAGTGCGGCCCCGACAAGCTCACACGCACGCGACATTTCTGTGCGAGCTTTTCGGCACTCGGTGCCGAAACGTTTCGCCATGCCTGCGTTCAGCGAAAAGGTTTCAAATTCAGTTTTCCGTGAGCGCCGCAGGAACAGCGCAATTTGGTGAACGCTTACAGGTAGTCCTCCACTTACAACGGTTCACTTAGGGACCGTTCGAGTCACAACGGCACTGAAAAAAAGCGTCGTGTCGCCGTTCTTTGCCTTTGCGGCGTCCCCACCATCGCGGGGCTTACCTTCAGGAGGCTTGGGAACTGACTCGCATTGGTGACCGTTGCAGGGGTCCCCGGAGTCATCTGATCTGCTTTGGTGACCTTCTCTGGCAGGCCAAGCCCATGGCAGATTCACTTAGCGACCAGTTTAAGAACCGCATGGATTCACTTAACGAATCAGGCGAGAAACGTTGTAAGATGGAGCAAACTCCCCTTAATGAATTCCTCGCTTAACAACTGAGAGCAAATCCAGGGACCTGCCATTCTTTTTACTACTCTTTGCTGCTTCCACCCCCCCCCCGATCATTTCCCTGATTCCTGTTGCTTTTGGGGGGGGGGCCCTTTTTAAGGCCCCCCCCCCCCCCCCCCATTGCTCTCTTCCCAGCTGAAATCCACATCTGTACCGAAATGATGGCAGGAGAAAGCACATAACAAACCAATGCAAGTTTATTCTTGGATTTCCTTAAACAAGCAGGACTTTTCCTTTGAATTCTGCAACCTGACACCAGATCCCCTTAAAAAAAAAAAAAAAAAATTAGGTGGAATAGCTGAATCTTTTCCTATAGCACTGCTCCTCAACGAAAGAGGCTTAAAAAATTACATTTCATGCTGCCATGGTCAAAAATGTCTGGATCCAGCAACAGCAGAAGATTGAATATTTCTATCATGGTTAACAACATGCTCAATTTCAGCGCCACCTTTTCGTTATTTGGATTTCTCCACTTCTCGGAGGAGGGAGTGTCATTCCCCCCCACAACTGTGTCTTTTGCAGAAGTCCAAGGAGCAGGCAGGTAACTTTGATTTCCTTCCTTCCGAGGGGGCAAGCCCTCCCAAAAGACTCAGAAAGTGGTGGATTTAGCCCCTTCTCCCACCCTCATGCCTTCCAAAGCCCTTGTTTTCTCTGGATCATGCATGCTTTATGCAACTCGAAGACAGAGGCATGGTAACAGCCATGGGAAAGAGAGGCACGATTAAAACAGATGCATTACAGATGTTGTAAGGAGGGCCAGGCTCACTGCTGCCCAAGAGAGAGAAAAAGAAGATGTGGAGCCAGTTTTTTAAGGACATCCTTATTGTCGGACGAGAGAGAAGGTAATGCAAGGAGCAAAGAGGTTCATTTTTAGGACGGAGTCAAGACCTTGGCAAGGTCTTGCAAGATAGAACATTGTCAGGAGTGGCCAGCAGAGAAGGCGATCTGGAGACTGAAGACTTTGAAATAGAGTAGAATGACAGAGTTGGAAGGGACCTTGGAGGTCTTCTAGTCCAACCCCCTGCCTAGGCGGACACCCTACACCACTTCGGACACCACTTCGGACAAACACCTCCAGTGTTGGAGCATTCACAACTTCAGGAGGCAAGTTGTTCCACCGATTAATTGTTCTCAAACGTCTCCTTAGTTCTAAATTGCTTCTCTCCTGGATTAGTTTCCACCAGAGGTGAAATCCAGCAGGTTCTGGAGAACCGGTAGCGGAAATTTTGAGTCGTTCGGAGAACCGGCAAATACCACCTCTGGCTGGCCCCAGTGTGGGGTGGGAATGGAGATTTTGCAATGTTTTTCTCCCAGGAGTGGGGAAGGAATGGGGATTTTGCAGTACCCTTCCCCCAGGAGTGGGGAAGGAATGGGGATTTTGCAGTATCCTTCTCCTGGAGAGGGGTGAGATTGGAGATTTTGCAGTATCCTTCCCCTGCTATGCCCACCAAGCCACGGCACAGAACCTGTAATAAAAAAAATTGGATTTCACCAATGGTTTCCACCCATTGATTAGTTTTCACCCATACTTGGGTGAGGATGTGTCTCATGGGTGCCTTCATCCCTGGTGCCCCAAGGTTCTACATCGGATTCATGTGGGTGGAAGTCAAAAGTCCAAGGAAACTCCACTTCATCTAACATCCTTGTGGGTCAGGAGGTCTTAACATCCATTCCCGATCCGGAAAGTTCAGCCAGCGAAGATCTCCAGCCTGGGAGACAGCCAACGGACGAGTTGAGATGCAAAAGCTTAGGAAGAGGGCAGGCGAGCTACACGTTACACATCTGGCGTGCGTGGAAAAGGAAGTCGCGGGTTGCAAAAGAGAGCTCCGTAAAGACATTCTTGGAAAGAAAGACTGGTCATTTTTGTTTCCCCCTCCTTTTTTTTTCCTGTTTTCGGTTCTTTCGAGGAGGGAGGGAGGGAGGGAACGGCTAATCTGAACACAGAGTCCCACAGCCAGCCAAAAAATCATCCCATGGAGATTTTTTTTTTTTGTTTTCCCAGCCCGATTGCCTCGAACCAGGTTTGTAGGATTAAAAAACGCACAAACCCAGATCTGGGCTGGTTCGTTGAGCAGCATCCGTGTTTTCAATTTCTTTGGTGGGATGGCAGAGGCCTCCCCCACCCCCACCCCACCCTCTGTGTCACAGGTTTGGGGGGAAAAACGGGAAGCGTTCACATCCTTCGTCTCCGAATTCAGATGGTGTGCTGCATTGCAGGAAAAAGAAAAGGAAAGGAAGATGGGAAAATCCAGAAGAAAGGGAAAGGAAGGGAGGGGAGAGAGAGAGAGGCAGAGAAATTGAGAAAGTTTGACATCGTAAATTATTCATCCCTACCGGGCCTAATGGACACATTATTTAATGGTTCGTGTTCCCATTAAACAAACGGTCCATTGCATTAGCAGGTCGGCGCTCTTTTGAAATTCAAAAGCATTAAGTTCCCATTGACAGATGCCACCTCCCCAACGCTAAAAGCTGAATTATGCATCAGGGTAATCTTAAAAAGAATCAATAGGCGGTCCAGTTGCTAACGCCGGAGCCTTTTCTTGGAGGGGTTTTTAATGTTTTCATTAAAATCCTCTCCGCCCTGAACATGGGAATGCGCCACCGGATTCTCTGTCGGGCTAATTTTTTTTTTTTTTTTGGAGGTACTACAGGATGAATGTGGAACCATCACACGTGGCCAACGGTTGACCCTGGAGAAACTTTCAGGCAGTCCTTGACTTACGACTGCAACGGAGCTCCCGATTTTCCCTCGCTAAGTGAGACGGTTGTGAAGTGAGCTTTTTTTTTTTTTTTTGGCTCCATTTTACGACTTTCCTTGCCGCACCTGTTAAAAGGGAAGCACCGCAGTTGCAGTTAAGTAAGGGACACGGTTGTTAAGCGAATCTTTGGCTTCCCCCACGGATTTTGCTTATCGGAAGGTCCCAAAAGCAACTTGGAACTAAGGAGGAATTTCCTGACAGTGAGAACAATTAACCAGTGGAACAACTTGCCACCGGAAGTTGTGAATGCTCCATCGCTGGAAGTTTTTAAGAAGAGGTTGGATAGCCATTTGTCTGAAGTGATGTAGGGTTTCCTGCCTGAGCAGGGGGTTGGACTAGAAGACCTCCAAGGTCCCTTCCAACTCTATTCTATTCTATTCTATTCTATTCTATTCTATTCTATTCTATTCCATGATCACATGACCCCCAGACACTGCAACCGTCATAAATAACCTGCCAGTTGCCAAGCCTCTGAATTTTGATCACACGATCGCGGAGGGGAATGCTACAACGGTAATAAGCGTGGAAAACACTCATAAGTCGTTTCCGCCCCCCCCAGGAGTGTTGTAACTTCGAAACCATCCCTAAAAGAACGATTGCAGGTCGAAGGTTACCTGTATCCCTGGGGTTGCCAACGGACCCGAAAAGACGGGACCCAAATCGCTCCTATGCAAATAACGACTTTCCTCCAAGACTGCAAACGGGCCCATTTTAACTGCTTGTCTTCTTCTTCTCTTTGCAAATGGGCTTTTTTCCAAAGAGAGGTTTTGTTTTTTTTTTCCTTTTGCTTGCAGCTGCCCATTTTCATTTACAAGCACGCCTCTGGGGGCCCCCCCCCCAAGCTATTCTGGTAAATCACGATCCGCTTCAAACATTGGGATTCTTCCCAAGCAAGGCTGAATTAGCACTCTCTGGAGTCTTGTCTGTCATCTCTCGGCCTTCAACTTTCTCGGTAACTCGATGCCGGCTTGATGGAAAATGGCACGCATCATTTTGCAATCTCTTTCCTGCCCGTTGTCTAAGCTAAGGAACTTTCAAACACAGTGGGGGAATTAAAAATGTCTTTTTTTTTTTTTTTGCAAGAATCTCCCTCCCTCGTGAAACGGTTCGGGTTTGCCTCCTGCCTCTTTTATTAGCACCCGGGTTAGCCGTAATCCTTCAGCTATAATGCCATCTTCTGCTCACTTAATTTAAAGTGCGTGCTTTTGAGTGGATGGGAGCAATTAAATCCAACCGCTGCCGATGGGAACGTCAACGGTTTCAGCTCGGAACATTTTAAAAAACGTAGCTCTGAATAGAATAGGAATAGGAATAGGAATAGGAATAGGAATAGAATAGATAGAATAGAATAGAATAGAATAGAATAGAATAGAATAGAATAGAATAGAATAGAATAGAATAGAAAATAGGGAATGGAAATGGAATAGAATAGAATAGAATAGAATAGAATAGAATAGAATAGAATAGAATAGAAAATATGGAATGGAGAATAGAATAGATATAGAATAGAATAGAATAGAATAGAATAGAATAGAATAGAATATATGGAATGGAGAATAGAATAGAATAGAATAGAATAGAATAGAATAAAAGAATGAATGGAGAATAGAATAGAATAGAATAGAATAGAATAGAATAGAATAGAATAGAATAGAATAGAATAGAATAGAATAGATAATAGAATAGAAAAAAGAATGGAATGGAGAATAGAATAGAATAGAATAGAATAGAGAATAGAATAGAATAGAATAGAAAAAAGAATGGAATAGGAGAATAGAAGAATAGAATAGAATAGAATAGAATAGAATAGAATAGAATAGAGTAACAGAGTTGGAAGGGACCTTGGAGGTCTTCTAGTCCAACCCCCTGCTTAGGCAGGAAACTCTACATCACTTTAGATAAATGGTTATCCAACATTTTCTTAAAAACTTCCTGTGTTGGAGCATTCACAACTTCTGGAGGCAAGTAGTTCCACTGGTTAATTGTTCTCACTGTCAGGAAATTCCTCCTTAGTTCTAGGTTGCTTCTCTCCTTGATTAGTTTCCACCCGTTGCTTCTTATCCTGCCTTCTCTTTGGAGAATAGCTTGACTCCCTCTTCTTTGGGGCAGCCCCTGAGATATTGGAAGACTGCTATCATGTCTCCCCTAGTCCTTCTTTTCATTAAACGAGACATCCCCAGTTCCTGCAACCGTTCTTAACCATTCTGTGAATGAAAGGGATGGAGCTTACAGGGCGATGCAGCATTTGGCCTCCTAATACTCAGCCCTGGACCCCAAAGCTCCACCCAATTTTTATGGGAATCGAAAAATCAAGGCCCCCAATGTGATTATCATGATTATTATTATGGCAGTTTGTGCTCCTCTCCATGTGTTTGGAGACATCTTAGGACAGGTCCCTCTGCCCCCACGTGCCCGGGTAGCTTCTGTGAACCTGCTTGGGGCATCTGGTAACCCGATCCTTTGGCAGGGACAGCTGCTGCCTGTGGGCGAAAGCTGCAGACGTTGGCCAGATGGATCGGCTTCCCTCCCTCCGGGCTTGAGAGGGAAAAGTAAGCAGAATTGGCCGCTAATTCATCCCCAGAGCTGGACCAGATTCTCCGTCTGCTATTAAGTGATGGAAGCACATAGAGGCAGTCCCTGACTTAAGATGATCAAAGGCCTAGAGACGGGGTCAGCAACCCGCAGCTCTGGAGCCGCATGTGGCTCTTTCATCGCTCTGCTGCGGCTCCCGGTAGCTCAAAATATGCGTCACAACCGCCAATGGGCAACACCCACCGACACACAATTTTAATAAGCTTTTCCCCCCGGTAGGCCAACCATGGATAAATCCACGAAAAGAAAAGTTTCAGAAGAAAACAGAACCTTTAATTCGACTACATATGCTAGTTTTGTGGCCTCTCAGGAAATAGTCAGGCACAGGGACGGGTTTTGTGGCTCCCGGTGTTTTCTTTTCTGTGGGAAACGGGTCCAAATGGCTCTTTGAGTGTTTAAGGTTGCAGACCCCTGCCCTAGAGACTATACCATATGAAGGACGGCTGCAGATTTTGGATCTGGTTAGTCTAAAGAAAAGAAGAATTAGGGTTGACATGATAGCAGTCTTCCAGTATTTGAGGGGCTGCCACAAAGAAGAGAGGATCAAATTATTCTCCAAAGCAGCTAAAGGCAGGACAGGAAGCAATGGATGGAAACTAATCAAGGAGAGAAGCAACCTAGATCTAAGGAGAAACTTCCTAACAGTGAGGACAATTAACCAGTGGAACAACTTGCCACCAGAAATTGTGGACGCTCCATCACTGGAGATTTTTAAGAAGAGACTGGACAGCCACTTGGAAGAAGGGAAGGGAAGGGAAGGAAGGGAAGGAAGGGAAGAAGGGAAGGAAGGGAAGGAAGGAAGGAAGGAAGGAAGGAAGGAGGAAGGAAGGAAGGAAGGAAGGAAGGTCTGCAGTTAAGGAAGAAAGGATGGTCTGGAGTTTAAGAAGGAAGGAAAGAAGAAGAGGAAAGGGAAAAGGGAAGGAAGGAAAGGAAGGAAGGAAAGAAGAAAGAAGGAAGAAAGAAAGAAGAAAGAAAGAAAGAAGGAAGGAAGGAAGGAAGACCTGGAGTTAAAGAAGGAAGGAAGGAAGAAGATGGGAAAGAGAAAAAGGGGAAGGAAGGAAGGAAGGAAGGAGGAAGGAAGGAAGGAAGGAAGGAAGGAAGGAAGGTCGGTCTGCAGTTAAGGCAGGAAGGAAGGAAAGGAAGGAAGGAAGGAAGGAAGGAAGGAAGGCTGGATTGTCTGGAGTTTAGAAGGAAGAAGGAAGAAGGAAAGGGAAGGTGAAGGAAGGGAAGGGAAGGAAGGAAGGAAGGAAGGAAGGAAGGAAGGAAGGAAGGAAGGTCTGCAGTTAAGGCAGGAAGGCAGGAAGGCAGGCAGGCAGGCAGGCAGGAAGGAAGGAAGGAGGAAGGCCGGACTGGAGTTTAAGAAGGAAGGAAGGAAGAGATGGGAAAGGGGAAAAGGTGAAGGAGGGAAGGAAGGAAGGCCTGGAGTTTAAGAAAGAAAGAGGGAAGGAAGAAGGAGGAAGGACAGTTATACAAACCTTAAAAAGTAGACTTAAAAGCCAGAGTGAGGGGAACATTGAATAAAATACCATAAGCAGTAAAAAAAATTCCAAAATAAAAACACAACAGCATAATCCAGCCAAGAAATGTAATCACATCCCTCTAACTTTCTCATTTATTATTCATTTTTGGCTTTTCTCATTTGCCTCAGAAATTCACCAGGTGGATTGCAAAGCTAGCAAAAAAGCTTAAGAGTGCAAAACACAGACGGGCACCAAACTCAAAAAAAAAAAAGAAAGAAAGAAAGAAAGAAAAAGAAAGAAAGAAAGAAAGAAAGAAAGAAAGAAAGAAAGAAAGAAAGAAAGAAAGAAAGAAAGAAAAAACCCCAACAACAGCACAACGCAATGGAGAAAATGCAAGAAATAAAATCATACCGAAAAGAGACACGGACTACAATAAGAAAAAGCCTTTCTCTTTGATTGGAAGGAGACTTAAAATCCGGCCGATGTCAACATAACAAAAAAAAGGAGACTGAGAAGGGGAAGAGGCTTTGCCTCGTGTGGAAAAGACATCAGGGTTTAAAGATAGCCCTTTAGAATAACAGAGTTGGAAGGGACCTTGGAGGTCTTCTAGTCCAACCCCCTGCCCAAGCAGGAAACCCTACACCACTTCAGACAAATGGTTATCCAACCTCTTCTTAAAAGCTTCCAGTGTTGGAGCATTCACAACTTCTAGTGGCAAGTTGTTCCACTGGTTAATTGTTCTCACTGTCAGGAAATTCCTACTTAGTTCTAGGTTTCTTGATTAGTTTCCATCCGTTGCTTCTTGTCCTGCCTTCAGGTGCTTTGGAGAATAGCTTGACTCCCTCTTCTTTGGGGCAGCCCCTGAGATATTGGAAGACTGCTATCATGTCTCCCCTAGTCCTTCTCTTCATCAAACTAGACATCCCCAGTTCCTGCATTCATTCCATTCTTTGTATGTTTTAGCCTCCAGTCCCCTAATCCTCTTTGTTGCTCTTCTCTGCACTCTTTCTAGAGTCTCCACATCTTTTTTTTTTAATATGGCGACCAAAACTGGATCCAGTATGCCAAGTGTGATCTTACTATAGGGCTGTATAAAGTGGTGATTAATACTTCACGTGATATTGATTTTATACCTCTGCTAATGCAACAGAAGGATAGGATCAGGAGCACATGAAGAATTATGGATGGTTATAGCAAAAACATTTTGGTGTTTTTTTTAAAAAATCCTTATAGCCTTGTTTTGTTTTGTTTTTTTTACTTCCTAAAATATTGCGTTCCATTCTTTTTGTTATGATGTTATAGGTGAACGGAGGCTTCTCGCTTTAAAACGGTGATAATTTGATAGAAGTGCACTCAAAAAAACTCTTTGGCTCAAGCTGGGGAGTTGTTAGCTGTTCTTTCAATTCCCTCGGCTGCTGAAATTTTGCATTAATCGTCGGGCCCCGTCCAGCTTAATGGAAAAAATAATGTTAATTTCATTTCTTCCCCTGATCCTAACCGTGCCCTCTTTGCCAGAGATTTTTAGCTTTCCGCAGACAATAATTGCATCCGATCCCGTTTTGAAAGAAGAGAGAAACGGGAAAGGAAGAGGAGAAAAGAGAGGAGTCTTGAAATGTGTTGTTGAATTACGACGTCCATCGTCCCTGATCTCTAACTATAAGAGAGCCAGTTTGGCCTATTGCCGTGATGGCAAACCTATGGCATGCGTGCCAGAGGTGGCACACGGACTCCCTGTGGCACTGAACCTATGGCACTCTGTGGGCACGTACACCGTCGCCAGGTGCTCTTCCAATGCGCCCTTACGAAAGGGTATCAATGTTTAAATCGTCTACCTCTGGAGACAACGGAGACGGTCCGTTGTGTTAGGCGATCTAGAACGCGTCAGCTGCGTTGGGACTCCATTGCCCATCCCTCCTCTAGGCTGGAGGCTGGGGAGGATGGGCATTGTAGTCCCGCTACCCGGGAAGGACCCCAGGCTGAGGGCAATTCAATACAAGCCACGTGGCTTACCGTAGTATAATGGACAATACAGAGTACTGCAATCATCAGGGCCCCGATGAGAATGGAGGCAATGGCAACCACCAAAGCCGTGTGGCCCAGCCTTCTCGACCCTTCGATGTCTCCTTGATTGTAGCTGTTTAGCGCCTGCGGGAAGAAAGAAGCAGAAGGAGGAGACGGCTGCACCCAGGGTTAAAAAATCCCGACCTGAACTCTGCACCCATTTTGTTCCCGAGGGCGTCAAGACCAGGGGTGAAATCCAGCAGGTTCTGACAGGTTCTGGCGAACCGGTAGCGAAATTTTGAGTTGTTCGGAGAAGCGGCAAATACCACCTCTGGCTGGCCCCAGAGTGGGGTGGGAATGGGAATGGGGATTTTGCAACATCCTTCCCCCAGGAGTGGGGAGAGAATGGGGATTTTACAGTATCCTTCCCCTGGAGTGGGGGGGGAATGGGGATTTTGCAGCATCCTTCCCCAGGAGTGGGGTGGGAATGGGGATTTTGCAGCATCCTTCCCCTGGAGTGGGGTGGGGATGGAGATTTTGCAGTATCCTTTCCCCTGGAGTGCGGTGGGAATGGGGATTTTGCAGTATCCTTCCCCCGGAGTGCGGTGGGAATGGGGATTTTGCAATATCTTTCCCCTGCCACGCCCACCAATCCACACCCACAGAACTGGTAGTAAACGAATTTGAATTTCATCATTGGTCAAGACCCATAAGGCACTTCTGCATAGGCAAGCTTTTTTCGTGAACAACAGAATCCCTTATGCCGCCAGGCTCGAAAGTTTGGGATTAGAAAACCTAGATCTACGCCGCCTACGGTCTGACCTAAGCGTAGTACGCAAAATTGTCTGCTACAACGTCCTACTTGTCAATGACTACTTCAGCTTCAGCGTCAACAATACACGGGCAAACAATCGATACAAACTCAAGGTAAACTGCTCCCAACTCGATTGCAGAAAATACGACTTCAGCAACAGAGCGGTCAACGCCTGGAATGCTCTACCCGACTCCATTGTTACATCCTCAAACCCCCACAGCTTCAACCTTAAACTGTCTACCGTGGACCTCACCCCATTCCTAAGAGGTCCGTAAAGGGGGCGTGCATAAGCGCACCAGCGTGCCTACCGTCCCCAACCTACCGTCCCCATTTATTTGTACTCATTTCCTTCGTTCATGACCATGTTCGCATGCATACCTGCTATCTTGTACGTGTTTGACAAACTAAATGTTAGGCTATAAATGTTAGGATCCCTTCAACCTCTAGGGATCTGTTGCACTCCTCTTTCTTGAAACTCTGAGGACTTATTAAACTAATTGAACTAAGTAGCCTGAGCAAGGTGATGGATAGGGACTGAGGATTACAAACTGGAGATGATGACTTACTCTCCCCCTCAACTGTCCCTCTCTCCTTTATCAGATCTAGGTCTATTACGACCACTCAGCGTTAACTTGCAATCTTAGAGCGATCTGCAGCTTTATTTACCCCGTATTCCCCCAAGATTACCCTGATTATTTAACCCTAAATACTTTGTCCAGTGGCTCTGCCTTACTTTTTTGATCTAATCCTCGGCCATCGCTGGTATCAGGACCGGAGGAGATACAGACATCGAGAGTCTTGGATTATGGGGAGATAGACCACCTTCTCTTTGTTTGTTTCAAATGGTTTGGTCGCTGTGAGAGGACGACCCTTTGAGACCTCTTCCCCCACCTCCTTTGGATGGACTTACTACAACCACAAGACTTCCCATCGTCGTGAGAGGGCGATGATGTTCCGATGTATTGACATTTGTAACCTACTGGTCTCCCTTTTACATCTATTTCCTCCCTTATTTTAAATTACCTGTCTTAACCATCTCTAACACTCTTAGAAGAAAATGATCCTTCATCTCCTTCAACTCGCTCCTATCTTTGATGTATTCAACTGCGGAGCTCCTTGCACTGCGAGATTCCCCCCTCTCGCATGTCTGGCCCTCTCAGTTATCAAGGGCCGCCCTTGAGGACGGGTTTTGGAACCCCGAGAGGTGGTTTGCAAAAAAACGACGGCTTTGGGGTTTTTTTTAGATAAATAAATAATAAATAAATAAATACATAAAATTACGCCCCCGGTTCCAAAGCACAAAAGCAGCCAGTGAAATTGCAGGCCTTTGAGGACAAGCCTTCCTCTGCTTTCTCCCAAACGTGAAGATGTCGCTCAACACAAACAGATCACGTTACAGCAAGGGGACACCGAAGCCTACGCAGGCAACAACTCGAGTCTCAAGGGCCAAGCCTGAAATCTTGGATCTCTCTGATGTCACGAGTAAGATGAGCCTGAGAAGAAATAGCAGCCAGGGAGCTAAAAGTCTGAAGAGGTTCTCAGTCACCCAGGTCACAGTTGTCCCAAAGGTCCTTTTTCAGGAGGCCACTGGACTTTCTGATTTTTCTTTGAAGACGTTTCACTTCTCATCCAAGAAGCTTCTTCAGCTCTGACCAGATGGTGGTGCATGGAAGGGTTTATACTCCTTGCAGACAGCTGGTCATTTGCATCCTTTTTAGAGGGTCTTTGAGGCCACTTGGAGAGTTTCCCTGTGTCCTATAGGAACCATTTGCACCACTCAGGTGACCCTGAGGACACAGATAAAACCTCCAAGTGGCCTCAATGACCCTCTCAAAGGATGCAAATGACCAGCTGGCTGCAAGGAGTATCAATCACTTCAAGCTGCAGTTACTCTAGGGCTGACATAAGAAGGAGGAGCGGAGGCGTCTGGAAAGGGACGTTTGACTTTTCACCTACTTATTTTCCCTGGAGATAATATCCCCTAGGAGATGGGATGGGAGGGGGGAAATTCCTTTGAGCTGGAGCAGTAGATTAGGGGTAGAGTGACTTGGAAGATGGCCAATGAGTGCAGGGGAGTGGGGAACGGAAAGGGAGGGTTTTGGGTCTGGAAGTCAGTGTTGGCTGCGATGAGTCGGAGTTAGAACGTCGTGCTTAATAAATGGGAGTTTTTCTTCAAAGACTTTGTTTGAAATGCAATTTATTTGAGACGACCTCGAAACCTGACATAGGGTACCCAATAAGAACAGCTCCGGTTTGAAATCAATATGTTGTTGAAGTGTTTCTTCTAACCATGCTTTAAATGCCAGCCTGAAAAAAAGCACGGTGGGTATTGTCTACCCGCTTTGGGAGGGCTTCCCAAATCTTCGGAGCCGTTGCAGTCAGAAAGTGAGCGGATGGGTGGATGGGTGGAGGAGCTCCCACTCCCGCCCCCATCTCGCCAATCTCGCCTCCTTCCTCCCACATCCTGTTGGCTTCCTCATATCTCGGCAGGATTTGGCCCGGGTCCCTGCATCTCCTGGAGCTTCAAAAAAACAAACAACCAGACCGTTGTCTTTTCTAAGTAATGGACCGCAGTCCATTAAGGCTTGCTAAATGCCTCAGTCTTGTCTTTTGGCCCAGATTCCTTCTCCCTGCCTGGAATCAATAGAGAAAGGGTGTGACTTCTGCTGAAAAGAGCAGGCAACCTCAGCCTGAACTTCTGCTGGTCACCCCCAAGGAGCTTCTGCCTCTACAGAGAAGACGGGGTCAAACCTCTTCTCCAAAGCACCTGAAGGCAGGAGAAGAAGCAACGGATGGAAACTCATCAAGGAGAGAAGCCAACCTGGAACTAAGGAGGAATTTCCTAACAGGGAGAACAATTCATCAGTGGAACAACTTGCCACCAGAAGTTGCAAGTGATCCATCACTGGAGGCTTTCAAGAAAAGACTGGACAGCCACTTGTGTGGGGTGGTATAGGTTCTTCTGCTTGGACAACAGGTTGGACTAGAAGACCTCCAAGGTCCCTCCCAACTCTGTTATTCTCCAAAGCACCTGAAGGCAGGACAAGAAGCAACGGATGGAAACTCATCAAGGAGAGAAGCAACCTGGAACTGAGGAGGGATTTCCTAACAGTGAGGACAATTAACCGGTGGAACTGCTTGCCTCTAGAAGTTGTGGATGCTCCATCATTGAAGGTTTTCCAGAAAGAGACTGGACAGTCATTTGTCCGAAATGGTATAGGATTTCCTCCTTGAGCAGGGGGCTGGACTAGAAGACCTCCAAGGTCCCTTCCAACTCTGTTATTCCTGTTCAGCGTTCTATGCAAGTAAGGCGACCCCCAGCCAACAAGGGAACACCCCCCCCCACTGTGTCACCCCCAGCAAAAGGGTGATTATAATCCAAGCAATTGGGAAGAATTAGGTTCTAATCTCGAATTCTAGATCGCCAGGTCTAGAACAGTGATTGCTAGATCACTGTTTATATTACATCACATCGTAGTTATAGATGCTCCATCACTGGAGCTTTTTAAGAAAGGATTCCTTGCCCAATCTCTTCTTGAAAACTTGCAGTGATGGAGCACCTCACTTACTGGGGGACTGGAGGCTAAAACATACGATGAACGGTTGCAGGAACTGGGCATGGCTGGTCTAGTGAAGAGAAGGACCAGGGGAGACAGGATATCAGTCTTCCAATATTTGAGGGGCTGCCACAGAGAGGAGGAAGGGGGTCAAGCTATTCTCCAAAGCACCCGAAGGCCAGACAAGGACGAATGGATGGAAACTGACCAAGGAGAGATTCAACCTGGAAATATGGAGACATTTTGTGACAGTGAGAACAATCCACCGATGGAACAGAAGTTGCCTTTGGAAGTTGTGGGAGCTTCATCACTGGAGGCTTTCGAGAAGAGACTGGACTGCCATCTGTCAGAAATTTATTTTATTTATTGGTTCGATTTATATGCCGCCCGTTCTCCGGAGACTCAGGGCGGCTTACAATGCATTAAGCAATAGCCTTCATATTTTTGTATATACCTGCTTAGTAGGGCTTTCGCCCCACCCCTAAGCGGTGTTCTTTTTTTATATACAAAGTCAGCTTATTGCCCCCCACAATCCGGGTCCTCATTTTACCTACCTCGGAAGGAATGGTGTGGGGTGGGAATGGAGATTTTGCAGTATCCTTCCCCTGCCACGCCCACCAAGCCACACCACGCCCACAGAACCGGTAGTAAAAAAAAAAAAAAAAATTGGATTTCACCACTGCATCTATCTATCTATTCTGAATTTCCCCGTTATTTGCAACCTCGTTATTGTCTATTCCCAACCGTGTGATGTCACAACTGCTTTTTAGCTGGTGTTGGCCGTCATGCATATCAAGTTTTTCTCAAGAATCTAAAGGATTATTTTTTGGGGTGGGGTGGGGACAAGTCCAGCCGGATTCTCAGTCCGAGAGTGGTGGAAACGTACGAATTCAAAGTCCTTCCAAGAATAATAGAATAACCGAGTTGGAAGGGAATTTGGAGGTGGTCTCGTCCAACCTCCTCATCAAGCTAAATTAAACTAAACCCCTCAAACGAAAGACCTAAAAATTGATGAAGGTAGCATCTAAGAATCTAGATGCTCGAAAAGGGATTTTTTTTGGGGTGTGTGTGTAAAATTAGGGGGTGCAAAAAGGCCCAATAAATTCAATATTTATAAGGGCTTGGTGGCTCAGCAGACTGATAGCATTGTAATTTAACACCAGCTGTCTGCAATTACTGTAAGTTCGAATCTCACCAGGCTCAAGGTTGACTCAGCCTTCCATCCTTTCTAAGGTAGGTGAAATGAGGACCCAGTTTGTGGGGGCAATAAGCTGACTTTGTATAAAATATACAAAAAAGTATGAAGGCTATTGCTTAACGCATTGTAAGCCGCCCTGAGTCTCCGGAGAAGGGCGGCATATAAATCAAATTATAAATCAATCAATCTATCTATCTATCTATCTATCTATCTATCTATCTATCTATCTATCTATCTATCTATTTTCTTACTTCTTCGTAGGGTTTATGTGTGTTTTTCCTCTCTCTCTATATATATATATTTGCTAAATTCAACATTTGCTATATGGAGGAAATCCTTTATGTGTCACTCGGAGGGCTTCAATCACGATTGGTAGAACAAAGACGTCCTTTTCCCCTAAGTACAACTTTGATCTGCAAATCCTGGTGCTTTGTCATTCCCCCCCACCACACCCCAAATTGTTTCTCTTTCATCTTAACCTCTCCCAAAATAGCAACGTCAATGAAATAGTCTTTCTTTCTTTCCTTTTCATCGAACTGCGGAACAACAACAATATAAACTGAAAAGGAGATTCAGCCCATCCGTCTTTAGAACTGGGATACACCTTGCTTGGCATGGAGATAGACGGCTATCAGGTTAGCCCAGAGTGATCGATTGAGAATTAAACCACGGGGAACAAAAAAGAGATGAAATTCTTTTTATAGGGGTATGGGTAAGGCATTTTAAATTGGGGAGCCATTTTAGATTTAATTCTGTTTTAAACGTATTTTAATTGTTTATATTGTATGTTTTTAACTTTGGCTGTGCACCGCCCCGAGTCCTTCGGGAGAGGGGGCGGTATAAAAATCTAATAAATAAATAAATAAATAAATAAATAAATCAAATCCCACTCCTGGCTGGCCCTGCCCAGCCCGTCCCTCCCAGGAATCCCCCACGCGGCCCGTTTTGGAGGTAACTGCAGGGCGCATGCGGAGGCTTGGGCAGGGTGAAAAACAGGCCTACCAAAAGTTCGGAAAGGCCTCTGGAGCCTGGGGAGGCCATTTTCGCCCTCCTGGAGGCTCGAGAAAAGCCTCTGGAGCCTGGGGAGGGCAAATACACCTTCCCGCCACCATGGTGCAGGAGGCCGACTAGGCCACACCCACCATGCCCACATCCACTCAGCGACTAATAAGAGCCTTGGTGGTGCAGCGGACTAAAGTGCTGTTAAGTAGCACTTAGCTGCCAGCTGCCTGCAATTACTGCAAGTTCAAATCTCACCAGGCTCAAGGTTGACTCAGCCTTCCATCCTTTCGAGATAGGTAAAATGAGGACCCGGATTGTGGGGGAAATAAGCTGACTTTGTATAAAAAAGAAGACCGCTTAGGGGGCCCCCGAAAGCCCTATTAAGCAGGTATATACATAAAAGTATGAAGGCTATTGCTTAATGCATTGTAAGCCGCCCTGAGTCTCCGGAGAAGGGCGGCATATAAATCGAACCAATAAATAAACAATAAATAAATAAACTGGGCAAAGAACCCCTTGCTAAAATTTTTGAAGCCCACTCCTGCTTCTAGGTGATCTGAAATGATTTCATTTTTTTTTTTAGTTTTAAAAATAATCTTACGCATCTGCTATCTTGTTTCCCCCAAAATAAGACATCCCCTGATAATAAGCCCAATTGGGCTTTTGAGCGCATGGCAGTAAGGTCAAGTGCTTATTTCAGGGTTCAAAAAAATATATATAGGTTGGCAGAAGCTGGGACAAGGAACGGGATCTCACCCCATTACGTGGCACTAGGGATTCAAAAAAAGCATCCAAAATCTGGGACCCGTGACTTCACGGGGCGTTGAAATTTGGCAAATTTTATCAAACATTTTTATGACCTAATATAAAAATGTCATAGAGACACTCCCTGGACGGAGCTATACAGCTTCAAGATGGGCGATTTTCAAGGCAGGTCCATCCCTGGGTGTAATTTATTTATTTATCAAATGGAGAAACCGTCCATCACCCTTCCATAGAATATCCATGAATTTTTAAGAATTATTTGTTCCGGTATGTTAGAAGCTCTGGCTGAGGAATCTGATAAGGGGAATATTTCTGAAACGGTGACCCAACAGGCTACGGGGTTGTCGTCTAATAAATAATAAACAGGATAATTGCATAACAAGATATTCCTCCTTCCCCCGTGGTTTGGGTACATTTAAGAACATCCATTAGCAAGTGGAAATTGGAGGTCCAGATTTCTCTGCTGTTGTGATAACTGCGATGGGATTTTTCATCCTCCGTTCTGCCCTCCCTCACTACTGCTGGCCATCATGGCTGGGATAAGGGAAGTTAGGGGACCTTGGTGCGTCATCCAAACTCGGTAACATTATCAGTGCTAACACTGATAAACGTCTGCAAGAAAACAACCAAGCTCAGAGAGCAGCAAGGAACCATTCTCCTCCTCCTCCTCTTTTCCGCAAACCCCACTCCCTTCCAGCACTGATCATGTTACCTAGTTGGGTAATGAAACATCTACAAGAAAACTACCAAGCTCAGAGAGCACCAAGGACCCCACAATCTCCTCCTCCTCCTCCTCCTCCTCCTCCTCCTCCTCCTCCTCCTCCTCCTCCTCCTCCTCCTCCTCCTCTTCTCACAAACCCTACTCCCTTCTAGCACTGATGATGCTATCTAGTTGGGTCATGAAACGTCTGCAACAAAACTACCAAGCTCAGAGAGCACCAAGGATTCCACAGTCCTCCTCCTCCCTGCAAGCCCCACTCTCTTACGGCACTGATGATGTTACCTAGTTGGGTCATGAAACGCCGGCAAGAAAACCACCAAGGACCCCTCATTTCAACCCCGAGCCACACTTAAAAGTGTAAAATCACCCACCGCCCAACCCCACCCCCACACACGATGTTAAAGCCTAACCAAGCAAACCAACAGGGCATATTTTGGAGGGGAGACTGGAAGCAAGCTTTAGAGACCCAAACCGGGTTAACCGTTGCACATTTGCGAAAACTAGAGCCCGCACCGAGCTGCAACGACTCGCGGGATTCCGCACCTCAACCTATTCCTAAGCAACGCCCGGCAGGATCCGCGCGGCGGCTACAAACTGGAAGGCAGCGCCTGGAAACGATCCTCGCCTCGCCGCCGCGCCTTTCGGTTTCCCCATTCTATCAACCGATGCCAGAACAACTGGAGAGCCCGTCTCTTGGTTCCCCGACCCCTAGCCCTCACCCCCGCGCCCCAAATCTCCTTTCCCTGCGGTTGCCCCTCGCTTAGACCTCCAAAGACTCAGATGGAGCTATTCGTGCGTAAAAGCGCACAAGCGCCTTTGAGCAAAAGGGAAGAGAGAAAGGGTGGACGGGGACGACGGAGGTGGGTGGGTGGGGGTCGCTTGAGAAGGGGAGAAAGGTAACACGTGTGGGGGGGACCCGGGTGGGGGTTCCTCCTCCTCCCTTGCCCCCCCCGGGCTTCCGTTTGCAGTGTGTGCCCAGGCACATGGGATGTCTCCCCGATGGCCAGGAGACAAAGAGTCCGATAGGTCCTGGCCACATTGGGCAGGGGTTCTGGAAACATTGGGCAGGGGGGTCCTGGCACCCGTTGGCAGGAGTTCCTGGCCACATTGGGCAGGGGGTCGTGGTCACATTGGACAGGGGGTCCTGGCAACGTTGGACAGGGGGTCCTGGCAACGTTGGACAGGAGTTCCTGGCCACGTTGGGCAGGGGGTCGTGGCCCACATTGGACAGGAGTTCCTGGCCAAATTGGGCAGGGGGTCGTGGCCACATTGGACAGGGGTTTCTGGCAACGTTTGGCAGGGGGTCCTGGCAACGTTGGACAGGAGTTCCTGACCACGTTGGGCAGGGGGTCGTGGCCACATTGGACAGGAGTTCCTGGCCACATTGGGCAGGGGGTCGTGGCCACATTGGACAGGGGGTTTAGGCAACATTGGGCAGGCGGGTTCTGGGAAACATTGGCAGGGGGTCCTGGCAACGTTGGACAGGAGTTCCTGGCCACATTGGCAGGGGGTCGTGGCCACATTGGACAGGGGGTTTGGCAACGTTGGGCAGGGGGTCCCTGGCAACGTTGGGGCAGGGCGCGGAAGTGTCAGCGGGTCCCTGGCTTCCCGCCCGATCGCCCCCTCCCACACCCCCTCGGCTCACCATGACCGAAAAAACGAAGGCGGCGATGTTGACGGGGTACGGAGGGGCAGAAGCAGGAGAGAATGCTCAGCCACAAATAGTTTTTGGGCGCGGGGCGCTGCTCCTCTTCCTCCTCGGGGCCGGGGATGTCCTGGTCGCCGTTCAGCTGGAGCTGGGGCGCCGCTGCCGCTCTTCTCCAAGCCCCGCTTGAGGTCGGAGTAAGCCGGGGGAGGCGACGAGCCCGCCATGGGTGGGAAGGAAGCCGGAGGAGGACGCGAGGAGGCGAAAGTTTTGGACGGGAGCGCAACGGCAGGTGGGAGAAGAAGCGTGGGAAACGGCTCAGCCCGGGCTCATCCCTTTCCCTTCGCCTCTCCTTCGCTGCTGGCCCCCCAAAAAAAAGCCCCAGCCGAGCCCATCTCTCTCCGGACAACCGCTCAGGTTTCTCTCCTGGAAGCGAAGAGAAGACGCGCGCGCCAAGACTGTGCCAAGACGCGCCTGGAGCTCTGCGCCGCCTGGAGCGCCCCCACCCCCATCCCACCGCACCAGCAGAGGCTGGGGGGTAGAGAGAAAGACCTGATTGGCCGAAGAGACCCAATCAGCCGTTGTGGAAAGGCGGGGAGATGGGAAGGCTGGGGAGGGTGGGGGGCGAAGGAGAAACTTGAACTTGGAGGAGGGGGACCTCAGAGGTCTTCTAGGCCAAATCCAGGTGATGCTGGACTTTTTAGCTGAGCCTTTTTCTTTTGGTTCCTTTTTCTGGCTTGGAGAGGTGGGAATGACAACTGGAAGAAAAAGATGCGGAGACTCTGGAAAGAAGTGCAGAGAAGAGCAAGAAAGGATGAGGGGACTGGAGGCTAAAATATATGAAGAAGGTTGCAGGAACTGGGCATGGTCAGTTTTTTTTTTTTTATTTGATTTATATGCGCCCTTCTCCGGAGACTCAGGGCGGCTTACAATGCGTTAAGCAATAGCTTTCATCCTTTTGTACATTTTTACAAAGTCAGTTTTATTGCCCCCACTATCTGGGTTCCTCAATTTACCTACCTTAGAAAGGATGGAAGGCTGAGTCAACCTTGAGCCTGGCAAGATTCAAACTTACTAATTGCAGTTAAATTACAATGCATTAGTCTGTGGGCTATCCAGGCTCATTTTAGCTGAGCCTTTTTTTTTTTGGTTCGTTTTTTTGGCTTGGGGAGGCTGGGAATGACAACTGGAAGAAAAGATGTTGAGACTCTAGAAAGAGTGCAGAGAAGAGCAGCAAAGAGGATTAGGGAACTGGAGGCTAAAATATATGAAGAATGGTTGCAGGAACTGGGTATGTCTAGTTTAATGAAAAGAAGGGAGTAGGGGAGACATGATAGCAGTCTTCCAATATCTCAGGGGATGCCCCAAAGAAGAGGGAGTCAAGCTATTCTCCCAAGCACCTGAAGGCAGGAGAAGAAGCAACGGGTGGAAAACTCATCAAGGAGAGAAGCAACTAGAACTAAGGAGAAATTTCCTGACAGTGAGAACAATTAACCAGTGGAACTACTTGCCACCAGAAGTTGTGAATGCTCCAACACTGGAAGTTTTAAGAAGAGGTTGGATAACCATTTGTCTGAAGTGGTGTAGGGTTTCCTGCCTAAGCAGGGGGTTGGACTAGAAGACCTCCAAGGTCCCTTCCAACTCTGTTATTCTATTATTCCGAAGGGATTTTAGATGGGGCAGAATAAATACAGAAGGTTTTTTTTTTTTTATCTCTTGTTTAGAGATGGGGGTTACATCTGGTCTATTTTGCGGGCCCGGCGTACGTGAAATCAAATGAATACAGTTTGATTTGATTGATGGATAAGATTTGATTGATGGATAAGATGTTGAATTTCATTTTGTTAGATAGCGCCCAATGTTCAAGTCTGTCAAGATCCTTCTGTATCTTGGAGCCTATCGTCTTCTGGAAGTGTTGGCTATTCCTGCCAGCTGGGTGTCATCTTCAAGTTTGATGAGTTCCCCATCTCATACTGTACCTTTCATTATTTCTTGACTGTAATCTTTCTACTACGGATTTTGCAAGGCAGTTCAATTAAGGAAATGCCAGGAAATCATGTCAATGGTCGCTCTCCAGGTTCTGGGAAGTTGCCCCTTGGTGAGATGGGTGGCGTATAAATTTCGTTAATAAAATTTAAATAAATAAAAATAAAAAATAAAAAGTTGAAGCCGAATTGGATGGAGCCCTTCCCTTGCAAAAGATCTCAGCCTGGCCTGTAAATATCGATTCACAGCGCAGCGAAGGCTTTTTAGAATCCCCGAAAGACAGTCTCATGAATCAGTCTGCAGAGAAAATGCCATTAACGTGCTTTCTCCTTGTTAGAAACTCCTGGCTGGATTCTCACTTGTGTCCCACGGCACAATGAATCATCTCCATTTTTGCTGTTAGGCGGCTCGCCTTTCCAAAAGATTTATATAACCCTCCGTGGCGAAGCGAAGAAGTCATCGGAAAGGGCCTTCAGGGTCTCTCTAAATGCCTTTTCCAGCACTTATTAACTCTGGAGGAGAATATTGGTAGCTCAGGGTGGAAAGGAGGGTGCTCTCTGAACTTGGTTTGTTTTCTTGCAAACATTTCATTACCCAACTAGATAACGTAATCAATGATAGAGGGAGTGGGGTTTGCAGAGAGGAGGAGGAGGAGGGAGGAGGAGGAGGGAGGAGGAGGAGGAGGAGGAGGAGGAGGAGGAGGAGGAGGAGGAGGGAATGGTTCCTTGCTGCTCCCTGAGCTTGGTGGTTTTCTTGCAAACATTTCATGACCCAACTAGATAACGTAATCAATGATAGAAGGGAGTGGGGGTTTGCAGAGAGGAGGAGGAGGAGGAAGAGAGAGGAGGAGGAGGAGGAGGAGAACTGTGGGGTCTTTGGTGCTTCTGAACTGGGTGGTTTTCTTGCAAACAATTTCATCATTACCAACTAGATAACGTAATCAATAATAGAAGGAGTGGGGTTTGTGGAGAGAAGGAGAGAGGAGGAGGAGGAGGAGGAGGAGGAGGAGGAGGAGGAGGAGGAGGAGGAGGAGAACTGTGAGGTCCTTGGTGCTCTCTGAATTTGGTTGTTTTCTTGCAGGCATTTAATTAGGTAAACAACATCAGTGAGAGAGTGTGGTTTCGTGGAAAGGAGGAGAATGGGAGGAGGAGGAGGAGGAGGAGGAGGAGGAGGCGATACCCTAAATAAACAACAGTCTAGGGCCGTGATGGCGAACCTATGGCACGCGTGCCACAGGTGGCACACGGAGCCATATCTGTGGGCATGCGAGCATTGCCCTAACTCTGCTCCAGCACGCATGCACGCAGCTGATTTTGGGGCCTTCCGGGCCACCGGAAGTCAGGAAACGAGCTGGGGTTGGGAAGGCCATTTTTGCCCTCCCTAGGCTCCTAGAAAGACTCTGGAGCCTGGGGAGGGTGATTGAAAAATGGGCCTTCAGGTGCCATCGCGTGCCCAAAGCAGGGGAAGTGCAGGGTGTGTGTTTTTGTGTGCATGCAGGGGGGGTTGGGCGTGGGGGCGGCTTGGATTTTGGGTGTGGGCATGCAGACACGGGACACCCCCCCCTCCAATGCTCCCCCTGCTTTTGGCCTGCAACGGCAAACAGGTTCGCCATCACTGGTCTGGGGAATGGCCCCCGACCTTCGGATACCAGGGAACAGTTCCGTGTAACAGTAACAGAGTTGGAAGGGACCTCGGAGGTCATTTAGTCCAACCCCCTCCCCCCCGCTCACGCAGGAGACCTGTACTAGGGACCCTGGTTTAGGGTCTCTGAGCTGGTACTTTAACCATATTTGCACCAATCCTGATATTTCCAGCGGTGCTGGAAGGGTAGCTTGCAATTCAGGGCTTTTGAGTTAGACGGGGGGAAATCTATCCCGGAAGAGGCACCGATGCTAACAGGACCCACTGCCAATCGAGACTGGGCACGGATTGCATTGAACTCTATCAAGGGAATACAGAGTGAAGCGTGGGTTTCGTGCCTCTCTGGAAAACAGCACTTTGGAAAGCTGGCGTAGCCAGTTAGAGAGCTAGACATCGATCCCGCTATTAAACAGCGTCCGTTTGCTTTTACTTAACTGATGGGAGTTGGGGTACTTCCTGCCATTGGAGGAGTCATGGGGGGGGTGGGTGAGGGGTCAAGAGAGAGGGGGAAGAGAACCATCTTGGGGCAAGGGGAGGATTTCCCTTCGGAGGGAGGGAAACCTGGGGAGGCCTTGAAGAAGGATTCAATCACGGTAAACATGGGGGCGAGGCAGGTGAGAAAAACACTCAAGACTGCCCCAGTATGATCTTCTTCGTATGTAATCTGCGATGCTTTCAAGATTCTGTTATTCTATCCTCTAGCTCTCTGGGTGCATTCCTGTGTGCATTCCAGCGTTCTCGGGCCAAAATGACTTTTTCATCGCCGTCAGTGGAGTTCGGTGCGCTCGCAGGGGTGAAATCCAGCAGGTTCTGACAGATTCTGGAGAACCGGTAGCGGAAAATTTGAGTAGTTCGGAGAACCGGCAAATACCACCTCTGGCTGGCCCAGAGTGAGGAAGGAATGGAGATTTTGCAATATCCTTCCCCCAGGAGTGGGGAGGGAATGGGGATTTTGCAGTATCCTTCCCCTGGAGTGGGGTGGGAATGGAGATTTTGCGTACCCTTCCCTTGGAGGGGGGGGGGAATGGAGATTTTGCAGTATCCTTCCCCAGGGAATGGGGAAGAATGGAGATTTTGCAGTGTATCCTTCCCCTGGAGTGGGGTGGGAATGGAGATTTTGCAGTATCCTTCCCCTGGAGTCGGTTGGGAATGGAGATTTTGCAGTATCCTTCCCTGGAGTGGGGTAGGAATGGAGATTTTGCAGTACCCCTTCCCTTGGGAGGGGTGGGAATGGAGATTTTGCAGTACCCTCCCTGCCACGCCACCAAGCCATGCCCACCAAGCCACACCATGCCCACTAAGCCACGCCTACAGAACTGGTAGTAAAAAAAATGAATTTCACCATTGGCACCGCGCCCTTGCCCATTTCTCCTGCAGCCCGGTCTCGAACAGGCGCTGCCCAGAGGGTTAGGGACCCTTGGCATAGCCTGTAGCTGGATAGTGGGGGAAAGCACAGGAATAGAATAGAATAGAATAGAATAGAATTAGAATAGAAATAGAATAGAATAGAATAGAATAGAATAGAATAGAATAGAATAGAATTAGGGATAGAATAGAGTAGAGTAGAGTAGAGTAGAGTAGAATAGAATTTAGAATAGAATAGAATAGATAGAATAGAATAGAATAGAATAGAATAGAATTTAGAATAGAATAGAATAGAATAGAATAGAATAGAATAGAATAGAATAGAATAGAATAGGGATAGAATAGAATAGAGTAGAGTAGAGTAGAGTAGAATAGAATTTAGAATAGAATAGAATAGAATAGAATAGAATAGAATTTAGAATAGAATAGAATAGAATAGAATTAGAATAGAATAGAATAGAATAGAATAGAATAGAATAGA